TCAACTCTGTTGGCATTTCCAGTTAAAATCCTAACCGGAAAGGCACTTCTCTTGCGGTGATGCTACCTGGCTGGGCCTTTGGAGCCGACATGCAGGGCCCCACTGAGCAGAGGGGAAGCCCAACCGCGGGTAAAAACAGATAGATACACACAACCGATAAATGCAGATCCAGAAAACCACTAGAGTGCATCATTTCATTGAAGAGCTGGATGCCAGAGTAGTTCAGTTTTTCCCAGACCTAGTGCCCTCATCCTATTGCAGGACTGGCTGGGGCATGCTGGGAGTTGAAGTCCAAGAATAGATTAGGCTATATGAATTGATCTGACTCACGGTAAGTTACACGTTATTAAGTAACTCGCCCAGGAGTACCAGTGGTTGGCCATTAAAGTGCTGAAGAGGGACTGCCACACGGTCTGAGGCAAACCCTATTCCTGATCAGGGGTGATGGAGGAAGACTTCGGTGCATATCCTGCCTCTCTTTCCCCTGGATCCAGCTCCGGCTTTCAACTCACCTGCTCCTTGCAGGTTTTGCATCGCTGCTCCCGGGACGTTACTGGCAGCCCTTCGGTTGCACCAAAAACAGGCAATGCAAAGACACACATGCACCCACAGAAAGGGGAAGTTTTCTAACCAGGAAGGAAATTCGGGCAAGACAGGAAGATCTTTTCATAGTTCTCTGAGCAGGAAGGGGGCTGCCCTTTAAAACAAAATACCCATCAAAAATTAGCTCCTTTCTCTCCCAATGCTGCTCCTCTCTAGGCAATGAAGCTCGCTGCATTTAACCCCATAAGTGTCTCTGCAGAAAGAGCCGCTGGCTCTTGCTTATAAGGCCACAGGAATGGGGTGGGGGGAGGGGAGCCCCTAAAATACCATGCCCAGGCCAGCTTCCAGAAATGAAGAATATACAAGCTGTGCATGGCAGAGAAGGTATGTTTATCCAGTAGCAATGTCAGCCCCATTGCCTTGAATGATGCTTACTCCCTTGTAAATGAAGATGTTACTAGTATCCTCTACAGTGCCTCAAATGTCAACTTCTTGGCCAGCTTCCAGAAATTAAGGTTCTAAAAAGATAGGGGGCATTTTATCCTCTTAGTAACATATAAAGCACCTGAAGAGTCAGGCAGGTCTGTGAAGGACAGGGCATTTCAGAGGGGTTTCGTTCATAGGGTCCCAAGAACAACATGAAGCACCTACAATTTTCTAGGAACTGTGCAGATATCCAGCGCCAAGTCCAGGTTTTGGAAGCCCTTGGGCAGAATACCCTCCATGGGCCCCAGCCTCAGAGGGGACACCTTCTCTTTGCCACTGTCACCAGCTGCTCTTGCATGTCACCCCTCTTCCCAGAAAGCTCACAGAAGAACACTAAAAACACATTTATTTATTTATTTAATTTATAGACCACACTTACAGCCCTGGGAGGGCACTCTGGGTGGTGAAATTTTCTACTAAAACCTACAATAAAATAAATAACTCCATTTATTTGATATTATATGGTATGATATGGACAGGGTATAGTGGCTTTAAAAAGTCGATATAAAATTCACAGATGTAATAAAAGCAATCAAGACCCATCTATGGAATGCACTCCCCAGAGAGGTCTGCCTGGCACCGTCATTATATGTTGTTCGGTGCCAGGTTAAGACCTTTTTATTTCATCAATATTTTAATAAGCTTTAATATTGTATTTTTAATATTATATTTTTAACTGCAGCCAGAGTGGATTGATTTGTTTATGTTGATTTTTATGTTGATATTCTGTTATAATTTATTTATATTGATATTTGTATTTTATTTATGTAAGCCGTCCTGAGGCTTTTGCAATAGGATGGCATATAAATATCACAAATAAATAAATAAATAAATAAATAAATAACATAGAACTGTCTTTGCCTGGTGCTGAAAGGCTAGTAACGAATGAGCTGGGCAAACTTCTTTGGGGAGCCTATCCCTCTTTCTAAAGTATATGAGAATAATTATACACAAAGCCCAGGTCACGATGCTCTTCATCAAGAGCAGGCTGGAAATGGGCTGGCATCTGGGGTTAGCACGGCCCAGCACCTGCTAAGGGCCTGCACTCCAGGAGGGCCCGACTGGAGCTGCTGCTCTTCTCGTCGGTGCAACCAGCTCTCCCCCTGGCCTGGATAACGGCTGAAGTGAGGAGGAGCACGAGATGCCCTTGCGAGATGCCCTTGCCGGTCTGCCTGTTCAGCAAGCAGGTGGGACCACTGCAAGAATCGGAGATACGAAGACAGGCGGTGGTGTCCATGGGGAGCAGATGCTCAACCCACGGAAATCATCTTGCCCAAGAGTCCTCCAAACCCTGGAGACAGTGCTGAGTGAAAGAAAACTTTCGACAGCTCATTTAAAAGCCAGCAAGGATAGATCTAAATTGTGAAACTGGCCCCACTGCAGCCCGTGCAGCTCAATCCTCTGTGTGTGTATTTAGAAATAAGCCACACTGATTTCACTAAGAGCATATGCAAAGCCCTGTTCGTCATCTGTCAGCATCCTGCTCCCTACAATGATGGGGCCAGAAGCATCGGGATATGCTGGCCTTGTGTCCAAATTTAGAGAAGGAAATTCTCCATCTGATGGGAGTCCATACTTGAAGGGTTGTCTAGTCCTGTATAAAGTTAATTAATCATAAGAAAAGTGGGAGTGGACTACAATTCCTATCAGTACTAACCATTGCTTTGCTGAGCCAATGAAAGCAGGATTTCTACAAAGGGGGGGGGGCAAGTTCTCCAATTCCTGAACCCCATACAATAAAGAGGTCACCTGCTTACAACTCCAAGGTTCAGAGGGACTCCATATGTAACCCTGCCGACCAGCTAATGCAGGTCACAGGTTCAGTCAGATATTTTACCAGCATAGCTCTGAAAACATAAGCTGCTTCAAGAAAAAATACAGTCAGATTAACTATTCAAAACAAAATAAGTCGTGGTGTGTACTTAACAACAGTACAATGCCAGCTGCCCAAGAGTGTGCCCTACACACACATGAAAAATTTGCACAAAGTCTCTGCAGCAGGAACAAATTAAGCAAACCCCACAAGGTGTTTTCAGACTCTTTAGCACCATGCAAATTCTCTCCTTCCACACACCGGTGCTGAGGAGGGGTCCTCTCGCTGGAACCGGAGCCTGGCCTGTGAAATGAGGGACTGAGCCCATCCATCCCAGCCACAGGGCTTCTCGGTCCATCCTGTGGACTCTCTTCTGTTCCTGGATGAGTAGTTTGCCCCTCCTGCTCATGATCTCATGGAAGGGCCTTCACTAGGGTTTTGTTGTTGTTCAGTTGTTAAGTCACGTCCGACTCTTTGTGACCTCATGGAACAAAGCACGCCAATTACCCGTCCTCCACTGCCTCCCAGAGTCTGCTCAAATTCATGCTGGTTGCTTCAGTGACACTATCCAACCATCTCATCCTCCACTGTCCCCTTCTCCTTTTGCCTTCAATCCTTCCCAGCATCAGGGTCTTCTCCAATGTGTCCTCTCGTCTCATTAGGTGGCCACAGTATTTGAGCTTGAGCTTCGGCATCTGTCCTTCCAAATGAGCAGTCAAGGTTGATTTCCTTTAGGACTGATTGCTTTGTCCAACAAAGTAATCTTATTGTCCAAGGGATTCTCAAGAGTCTTCGCCAACACCACAGTTCGAAGGCATCAGTTCTCCAGCACTCAACCTTCCTTATGGCCCAACTCTCACAGCCATATAGTAGTATGGGAAACCATAGCTTTGACTTTCTGTCAGCAAGGTGATGTCTCTGCTTCTTAGTAGGCTGCCTAGGTTTGCCATAGCTTCCCTCCCAAGGAGCAAGCGTCTTTTAATTCCATGGCTGCTGTCACTAGAGTTACACAGACATAGTTCTTGAAGATGGGAAAAGTGGGTGGGAGCACCCTTTCTCTATGCCAAGCACAATTTTGTAGCCTCTCTCCCATCTCTCTTTTCTCACAACTGTTCTTGCCATGTTCTCCAGCTTCAACAGGTGATTTAAAAGGCAAATCTGCCTTCTAAAATGTTAACTTAAAGAACGTAAGAAAAGATGTGCTGGATCAGGACCAAGGTCAATCTCGTCCAGCACTAGATGGCAAGCCAGCTGCCCACAGGATCCCCCAAGGAGGACCGGTGCGAGGCCTGCTCCTGCCCCAGAGCTGCTGCCAATGGTACATGCAGGCATGCCACCTCTGGTAAAGCAGGGAGCACGTCGTCGGCAAGGCTAGTAGCCACCGATATTTCCGTTGCCTCCCGCAGTAACACAGCTGAGGGCTTCCCCACTATGGGTTTACCTGCTGGTAGTCAAGAGTTCTTCCAGGAACGGGGGAGGCGGGGGGGGGGGGACTGATCTACTTTTAAAATAATGTCGCTTCAAAAATTTACAAACACGAATTGCATACAGTGTGCAGACCTGTGCATATTTATACAGGAAAAACCCTCCCGCACGCTTGACTGGGGAATTCTAGGATGTCATTTTCCTGTCTAAGCAGTCCAGTTGCGCTCTGGAGCGTAGCCCGGGACTGCACTCCAACTGTTTCACCCGTGGCAATTCGGCTACACGGCGCCGGGATTACGCAGGCGCGCCCCACGCCCGGCCAAGGGGAGGCGGGGCACGAAAAGGAATTCGATGCGGCTCCGACGCCCACGAACGTCCAGGCCTGCCTAGGAATCTGCGCTCTCATACTTTAACTCTTTGAGCTCCCTTATGGAAAGGGGGGGGAACCCTCGTTCTCGATGGGGCTTTCCTTGGGGATGCCCGTGTGGGGCGTGGGGAGGAAATGCAAGAATATTTCCACCTCCACAAAAGCCTTCCCGCAAGCGGTCCGAGCCGTGCCGTGTTACCGCTAACCCACATCAACCACGAAGCACGCCAATACCCAGGCCGAGCCGGCTCCTCCGCGGTCATCCGCTGGTTAACTCATCTCGGCTCCGGTTGCTCGAGAGGAAGGGGATCTCGGGCCAGCGGAGGGGTGGGGCCTTTCTTTCTATTGAATGCCCCTTCCTGAGCCGCTCTTCTGCAAATTGCAAGCTGATTTATTTAACATCCGCCCCCCCACACGCACGCACTTTGTAGACGTTGCGATCCTCCGCGTGTCGCAGTCCGACGGCACTGCAGCCGAGCTGGCTCCCCTGCCCGTGCGCGTAGCCCGCAGCTTTAATTTCTATCAGCGGGAACGGGAGGCCTAGTCCCGTGTCAGTAAGTTGCAAAGCGGGTCAGCTGCAGGCAGCAGCTGGGGGGAGATTTTCTTGGGGGGCCAAGACGGACGCCGCCCTGCACTTCTCCCTACACCAGGTGCAGGGTTCGCTGTTTCGCTGCCAGCCCTTTCAAACGCCCCCTGCTCGTTTGCACTTTAAGAAGAGGGAGTTGCTATCTGGTTCTTTAGGTGTGGGAAGAGAAACCCTGAGACCAAAAAAAGCCCCACGATGACTGAGCATTTGTTGAATGGGTGGGGGGCACAAAATCATGTTGCTGGTGAGGTATGGAATGGAGTATAATGGAGTGGGCAGGTCTGGCCTGGCTGGCGGAAAACCTGAACAGCAACACTGGCTGCTGCAGTTGTTGTTGTTTTTAAAACAGTCTTACTTGTGAAATCGAGCTATCAGGAAAATATGAGTGGCTGAGAATGGGACTCAAAAGACTTGGTTTCATTCCCTACCTTGCCATGAAGCTCACTAGTGATTGTGGGTTAGTCACTGACTCTCAGCCTTGCCCACCTTACAGGGTTGTTGTGAGGATACAAATGGAGGGAGGAACATCATGTAAGCCACTTCAGGTTCCTTGCAAAATGGGATATATGTGCAACAGTTAATAAATTAACAGCATGTGACAGGTGACTTGAGCCAGGCACCATGTCTGAGACTAACTTCCTTCGTAGAATTGTTTTGAGGATCAAACACAGGACTTTGCCAAGATGTCAACCATGTACACCTGCTAGGAATGGGGGGATAAACATCTTCACTTAAGCCAGGCTTGCCCAACCTGGCACCCTCGAGATTTGCTGAACTATATGCTGGGGTTGTAAGCCAATGCCTCAGGAAACGACCAGGGTGAGGAAAGCTGCCCAAATCATCATCTCGTGCCTGACTTGTCAGGTGTGTGTCGATGCCCCTGTAGCCAAGACGAGGCCTCTGAGCAAGCTCGATGGATTACAAATCTTCGTTCCCTAAGTATTGACCAAGCTGGGGGTAATGGAAATCCAAAATAACCAGAACACAGCAGGTCAGGAAAGACTGAGCTAGGATCCCTGTATGCTTTTTTTTCCCCTTACTGTTTATTTCTGTTTTTTTCTTTCAGGGAAGCAGCTGTAAGGGAAGGCCATCAGCAGCCGCGAAAGCCTCAGAGACAACACCATGGGCGGCAGTCTGTGGCCTGTCGCTTTTGCCTTTCTGTAACGGTGTCTCTTTCCTCCTGCAAAGCCAGGATGGAAGGGCAGAACTGAGTTACGATCGTCCCCGATAAGAGAAAAATAGCTTCAGAGATGGAGGCAGAATTCTCGGCCCTCGGTCTCCGCAGGGTCATTGTAGAGCTGGATGTGAAGCCAGAAATCAAAATGGAGGGGCCGGAGCCTGAACCCGAGCGAGGGCTGCAGAAAACGGCGGTGCAAGCCGAGATGGCTCCTCGCGAATTAGCAGCAGCAGCACCACAGTGCATTAAGCAGGAAGCAGAGGAAGGCCCTTCATCTGAGCAGTGGGAAATGCAGTGGCCAGTCCTGCATCTACCCCAGTCCTCTCCATTAGGACTGGGGAATCTACAGCTGCAGGAGAGCATGCTAAGGGACGATGCAAAGCATGCACTGGCTGGTTTTGAAGGGGCGGCGGCCGCCAGCCACTGGGGGAAAGGAGAGGACATGCTCAGGCTGGGGCTGAGCAGAACAGCAGCCCAGGGGGCACACGACCTGAATGACGCAAGCGAGCCTGGTGAGGAGCGGCCAAGAGAGGCCAAGGCGGTGGATCCTGCCAGCTCCGAGCGCCAGCGCCAGCACTTCCGGCAGTTTGGCTACCAGGAAGCCGAGGGGCCGTGGGAGGCGTACTGCCAGCTACGGAAATTTTGCCACCAGTGGCTGATGCCCGAACAGCACACCAAAGAAGAGATCCTGGAGCTGGTGATCCTGGAGCAATTCTTGTCCATCCTGCCTCAGGAGATGCTGACCTGGATCAGGGAACGCGACTCGGAGAGCTGCTTCCACGCTGTCGCTCTCGCCGAGCATTTTCTCCTCAGGCAGCGAGAGGCTGAGCGACAAGACCAGCAGGTGCCAACCCCAAGCCTTCTGTGCCATCAGAATTAGGAGGCAGGGCCTGGCCAGGGCCAGCTCTCAGCTGCAGGGGCCAGCAGAAACACCAGATCAGCTGAAGGCCATCATTCTGATTTCCCATAAAGTCACTATATCAAGGATGCTGTAAGAAGAGAAAAGGGTGGCCACGCTCGACAGCCCGGTGCTGCCCTCAGTAGTGGGCTGGCATTTCAGGGGGAGAACTAGAAAGGAGACCCAGGCCAAGGTGCTTGGGACCCTGGCAGTTGTCCAAGTAGCCAATCCGTTAAGTGTCCAGTCTGCTTTTCAGGCCATCCATATTGGTGGCCTTCACTACATCATGTGGAAGAGGATCCCATTGTCTATATAGCTTAAAGAAACCCTTCCTTTTACCTGTCCTGAATCCCCTGCTAATTACTTCATAAGATGACTTCCTTGGGTTCATTATTAAGAGAAAGGGAGAAAAATTTCTGTCCGCTTTCTTCGTGCCATGCATAATTCTGAACATCTCCATCACATCCGTCTTCACTCGCCATTTTTCCCCTAAGCAAAACAATCTCACAAGTTCTAAGCTTTCCCGTAGGGGATTTGCTCCAGCCCCTTGATCATTTTAGTTTCAAGGAAATGCTAAAGCATTTGGGGCTTTTTAGTTTAGCAACAGAAAAGGCAACACAGGTGTTGGCATCATGGTACATGGTTTGCAGTTAGTGGTGAGAAGGGTAGTACAGCCTTTGTCCCCAATTATAGTACTAAATTTGGAAAAAGGGAGTTGAGGAAAACAATGGGCAGTAGAATCTGAATTAGACGATCTCGGGCACTTATTTGCACCGTGAGCAGCTCATAGAACTCACTGCCACAAATTATGGCAATACTCTTAACAGTGATGGCTTGAAGCAGGGGATCAAAGAATTGTGTATAGGTTGGATTTACCAATCTCTGTTAGTCATGACATTTCTTTTTTTTATAATAAGTTTTATTCAAAATCGTTAGTCCTAAAAACAAAGAAAACTAAAAACAACATCAATCATCAAAAACATCGAGCCTACTGGGTTAGCCCCCACATTTTTTTCCATTTATGATAACATAGAAACATAATCTATATGAAGTCCCGTTTCTCTAGCCAATAATAAAAAGAGTCCCAAGTTTGATAGAAATCAGTATCTTCTTTCTCCTTCAATGACAAAGTCAATCTATCCATTTCTGCACAGTCCAAGATCTTTTTTAGGATCAATTTGTCAGTGAGTGGTTCTTCACTTTTCCAGTATTGAGCAAATGCAATCCTCGCCGCAGTAATTACATGTAAAATCAAGTACATTTCTTGTTTACTAATAGCAGGTATAATGCCTAATAAGAAAATGTCAGGTTTAAAAGCTAAAGATTTTTGTAACGTTTCCTCAAGCCATTTATGTATTTTAATCAAATACTTTTTCGCATTATCGCAAGTCCACCACATATGATAGAAAGTACCCAGTTTATGCTTACATTTCCAACATCCATTTGACATATTTGAAAACATCGTAGCTAATCTATTTGGAGACAGATACCATCTTAGTCATGACATTTCAATGGAACCTCCAGGAACTGAATCTTTGAATGGCAAATGTGAGGGACATACAGCAATGGCAGATGGTTTCCTTTTAGTTCTGCTTGTGGGGTTTCCATTGGGGAAATGAATCAATGAATGAATAAAGTAGGTTTACAAGTCACCCTTTCGGCCCAAAGTCGTCTCCAAAATGATTTGCAAAGTTTGGAAAAATGACTGGCATCAGAATTAAGAGTAGGAGAGATTCTTAAAAGGAAGTATATAGTATATACTTATACAAAGGCTTCGGCGAATGGGGCGGCATAAAAATGTTTTAATAAATAAATAAACAACAGCCAGCCTAAAACTGAATGAAGAAAGGCCAGCCTAACTCCCTTTCAGGGAGAGTTCCATAGGAGTGGGGCTGTCACAAAGAAGGCCCTATTCTGTGTCCCCACCAGACTAACCTTTCCTAGTGGCATGACAAGCAGAAGGACATCCGATTGGCTCTTGCGAGACACAGGACGCCATACGAGATGGGCCCTTGGCTCAAATCGTGGACTAATGTGCTTTTTGTCGTTTTAGGTGCCAGGGATGAAACAGGAGGCAGCTGTGAATTTTTCAGCAGGAGAAGGTGCTTCACTGGATTTGGCTCTCAGGCAGCTGTACAGGGAGGTCAAGCAAGAAGAGGAAGGCGGTGCCAGTGAGTTAGGTAAGGTTCTTTGTCCTCGAATGTGTATGTCCTGTTTATCTCGTGCCGATTCCTTGTCAGTCTTGCTGTTACTTTTGCCATTTCCTGTGTGGGGAAGGAGTCATAGCTCAGGTCTTCGTAGGGCACAAGGCATGCGCTTTGCTTCCTGCAGGTGCCTCCAATTTCAGAAGGATCCCAAAGCAGGTAATAGGAAGCACCCCTTCCAGAAAGCCTGGAAAACAAGCAGTCAGAGTAGATAATGCAGGGCATGATGATGCCCAGGGAGAGAAGGGGGTCCATGGGGGTCCCAGTCCAAGGATCCCAGGTCGATAAGCCCACTTACCTTGGCCCCACCCATTTTGCCCCAATTATTTGGTATCCTCCCCCCCCCCCATCAATTTTGAAAGGCTGAAATGCCTGTCCTTGGTTTCTGAGAGTAAAAGCTTTACACTCAAAAAGGACTTGTGTTTTTTGACCCCCCCCCCACACACCCCCGGAAAGCTTCTCTGAAATGGCATTTACTCTTTGGGCTCATGACGTTTCTGCACTCTTGGGATAGACTATTGCCTCTAGTACAAGGCAATGTCCTATGTAAATATATATTATAACTGTTACAAGTGGGTGTTGCAATAAAATGTCATTTATTTGTTTCATCTCTACACCTGCCCACTAGAAAATTTGGGAATTTTCTAACAGTGCATAAAACTTATTACGATAAAACACAGGAGGCACTGCAGCTAAAGTAAACGTGATTCTAAAATTTGGATGCAACTTGAACTGTGGAGGGAAAAAGCTACTTGGCAGTATAGTATTCATACTGTGAACGGTGGCTATGGGATTTTATTGCTTTCAGGATTCTTGGCGCTCCATTCCATTTTCCTACCCATTTTTCATTCTCACTCTGCCCAACCTGTTTTTCACTAGGTCCTTTTCTACCTCTGCAAACCCTGGGATTCCCCAGGGGTGGCCGCTCTCTCCACCTTGTGCCTGCATGTTCCATTTTAGCATATACAGTGGTAACTGTATATGGAATCTGCTCCCCAATCTATGGAATGCGCTCCCCAGAGAGGTCCGCCTGGCGCCGTCGTTATTTGTTTTTCGGCGCCAGGTGAAGACCTTTTTATTTAAACGTCATTTTAATTGTTAACAATATTTACTTATTTATCTGGCCAGGGCGACTTCTTTTCTTTTCTTTTCTTTTCTTTTATAACTTTTCTTTTATAACTTCTTTTATATCGTTTATATTTTTTATTTATTTTATATTATTAATTTTAATTTTATATTGTTATTTTTATATTGTATTGTATTTTATTGTGTTGTAAGCCGCCCCGAGGCTTCGGCAAGGGGTGGCATAGAAATGTTCTAATAATAATAATAATAATAATAATAATAATAATAATAATAATAATAATAACTCGGCTCACGAACACCTCAGTTCATGACCAGATCGGGTCCTGAACAGAAATGTTGGCAAAATTTTGCCTCAGGTCACAAACTCGATTGCGATCGCACCCGTCTTCCCTGCACGATCGTGCTTGGGGGCACGGGGGAGACGGCCGTGATCACACACACATCTTCCTTGCATGAGCATGATTGTGATTGTGGCCATCCCCCCCCCCCCCCCCCCCCCCCGCCCCCCATCCCCCCATTTTCCTTTTGGCCCCCCCCAAAAAAAAACCCCCCCCCCCCCCCCGACCTAAGTTAGTGTTCTCTACTGTGCTGTACACTACTTTGTTACTTTGTTGTTCTTTGTCACTTGTTTCAAATTTTTGTGATTAAAAAAATGGTTACAGAACAGATTAACCTTATTTCCATTGAACCTTATGGGGAAATTTGACTTGGGTCATGACCAATTTGGGTCACGACCAGAGTTCTGGAACGGATTAAGTTCATGACCCGAGGTACCACTGTACTCACTGAGCTTTGCAAAAACAAATAATTATTCTTACATTCCAGCAGGTGATGGAAGGCAGAGTGAGAATAATGGAATGCCATTGGAAAGACAAGACAGTCAGGGCTTGGAAGAAACCATTGGAGAACGAGCCCATCCAGAGCGACTTCAGGGCCATCAAACAGAAGAGCATCAGCGTGAGTCCACTGCCTCTCAGGGTACAGGCCTCTGTGAAACAGCAGTCCAACAAACAACTCAGAAAGGAAAAAGACCAAGTGATAAACTGTTCCATGACCTCAGTAGGCATCAGAGAAGCCACACAGGAGAGGAACTTTATGAATGCTCAGATTGTGGGAAAGTGTTTATTTCTAGAGCTGGCTTTATCATGCATATAAGAGTACATGGCCGAGAAAAGCCGTATGAATGCACAGATTGTGGCAAGCACTTCAGGAGAAGCTCACACCTCAATAGCCATAGCAAAATCCATGCAGGAGTGAAGCCATTTAAATGCTTGGACTGTGGAAAAGGATTCAGCCGGAGCTCAAACCTTATCTCACATCAGAGAATGCACACGGGAGAGAAACCTTACTCTTGTTCATCCTGTAGCAAGCAGTTTTGTGACAAATCGAGCCTGGTTCGACATGAGAGGCTTCATACAGGAGATAAGCCATACAAGTGCACCGAATGTGGAAAAAGTTTCAGCCAGAGCCACCACCTCATTACACATCAGAGAAGCCACACAGGTGAGAAGCCATACAAATGTTTGCTCTGCAGCAAAAGCTTTTGCGACCGATCAACTTATATTCGGCATCAGAAAAATCACACGGGGGAGAAGACATTTAAGTGCTCTGAGTGTGGTGAATGTTTCAGTCGGAACAAGCACCTTGTTAGGCACCGGAGCATTCATACAGCAAGGGAACTCTACACATGCTCTGACTGTGGGGAAAGCTTTTGCCGCAGATCAGGCCTTAAGATGCACCAGAAAATCCACACTGGGGAAAAACCGTATGAATGCCCAGACTGTGGGAAAAAGTTCAACCGCAGCACAAACCTTATTAGCCATCAGAGAATCCACACTGGAGAGAGACCCTATGGCTGCCCTGACTGTGGGAAGAGGTTCAATCGTAGGACACATCTTGTTAGCCATCAGAGAATCCATGGGCAGAGGAAAGAAACTACAGAGATCCTCGGAGTAGAAGAAGAGCTGCCATCGGCTGAATTCAAACCAGGATATGTGCCCCCATCTTTTATCATCACAACAACCCTGTGAGGTAGGTATGTTAGACTCAGAGGTGGTGACCAAGCCAATGTCATGGCTTCAAGGCTAAACAGGGGTGTTATTTCTTGTCTTCCATAAAATATTCCAGTCCAAGGATGAGAAACCTACAGGTCTGCAAATAATGTTGGACTACAAATTCCCTGATCAGTGCTGACTGGAGCTGATGGGAGTTGGAATCCAACATTATTTGGATGTAGGGCTCCTTTTTCTCACCCTTACATTCACTGCTTTTTCACCACCCATCAATATGGATGAAAAGTGCCCACTTGGGAATGTTTTTGTTAAGAAAAATGGCCTCACACATTCTGCGCACACATCTTGCCCAGGTAAAACTCTGGGCAAGACACATCTCTCTGTCCCCCTTCCTTTTTTTCTTTAATCCCCTGGCTCGTTGCCCTGTCCATTCAGGCATTCTGCTGCACCAGGTCCCTAGAGAGAGACCTGAGCTGCCCCTTTCCAAAGAGGCATCCCAGATTCAGCTCAGCCCAGCTAAAGCGAACATTCCCCCACCTCCTTTTCTCTCTCCCTGCCTCCCTCTTGCTGCCTTTTCGTTCAGACTTCAAGCTTGACTCCAACCCAAACGGCTCTTCTCAGCCACGGGTCCCCAGCTGGGATTGACGGTTGGGCATCCCGACTGAGGTTAATAGGAATTGTAGTCTAACATAATCTGGACAGCTAGTATTTGAAAGCTCGAGCTAAAGGGTCATGTTCTTAAACTGGGGCAGGAAGGGGGTTCCATTTCAAACCACCAGAGATTCCAGCTGTCAAGAAACATTAGCTTTCTTTTGTTCAACTGGGGTGCATCATGGAACGAAAGCTGAATAGTTGATCCATTCACGGCAGGCGAGGGCCACACTCACCACCTGGGGCTCTGTTACTTTTACGTAAAATCGGAGGCACTTTGTAGTCTTACTTGCTGCCTAAATTTTATGCTAGGAATCTGTAATAGTAAGAAATGTCTACATTGAGTTGAGCCCACCACCCTGCTAAGGACATCATCCCTCATTGCAAGAAGCCACAGTCAAGCAGGTTAGGGATATGGTCTGAGTTGGCAAGGTTTGTTCCTAGCATAGCCTTTTCTACATGCGGGGTTGTTATAATTTTTCTGTCTTGGTTTGGTCTGAACAGAGACACAAGTAATCCCGTGCAGTTTGAAGTGGCATAGTCCTGGCTCCAGGCTTAAAGTTCTGGGAGAACTGAGCTTAAAATACTTCTATAACATGTCATCAAGATATCCAGAGGGTATATATGTATGTGTTTGTCCCTGATGAAAATCTATTTCCTGTACAGTCTCCCTTTTGCTACTGTTTTACACGTCTGATGAAATGTATCAGAAGCGAGCATTTCCGCATGCAGAGGCTCCACCTGAGCAGGTGTTTCCATGTTAGCTGGCCACACCGTTGTGCCCACGTCTCGGGGAGCATGTTTTCAGGGGGACCCTGCTGTATTAAGGGCAAATGCCTGGGAAAAGGGAAACTGTGCATAGATCAGGCACCCCCCGCAGGCATCTCCTCCCCGCAGGGCCGTGGGATGCTGCAGCCGGCGGGCTTTGCAGAGCCCAAATGCAGAATCTTCTCTTCAGAGCCCTGGGTGTCCGTGGTGCAGCTGAACTCTCTTTTCCTTTGCTTAATTGCCATGCAGGTGTGCATTTCAAGCAGAGGGTTAATATTCCCCATCGCATACGCTGTAACACCCCCAATAGAAGTCATTCCCTGCATGGCAAGTAAACTTAGGGAGGGACACCCCTTTTTTTTTCTTTTGCTTTGGAATGAACTGACTCGGGGTGCAAATTAATAGAAATATTTGGCCGAAAAATGAACTGGCTGACTTGGCCTCCTGTGAAATATCAATAAATCCTAGTTTTTATTTCTAAATACTAGAACCCACCTCATGTCCTCCAACCCACCTCGCAGGGTCATTGTTCTGAGGATAAGGTTGAGGAGGAGGAGGAGAATGATGTAAGCTGCCTTGAGATTTTTTTTTTTTAAAGAAAAAGGCAGGATATAAAACTAACTAAATAAATAGCCATATCGAGATACAAATGAGCAGAGGTGGATTTAATGCAGGTTTGAATCCTATGGCCCTGGGCCCTGAATGCTCACGCCCTCACTGAGTCTTTTTCTCTGCTTGAGGAGGGATGCTCCATGTCTGGGGACCAAAGCTGGGGGCCAGCGCTCCGGCTGTCCCACACACGAGCCTCACGGGAGTTTCTGCACCTTCGCTCCATGCAGGAGGCTCCGGGGTAAATGCCCGGCCTCTGCCATTGAAGAAGAACAAAGCGGCAGGCAATGGCAAAAGATTCCCTGCTTGAGACCCCAGAGGGATACGCAGTCTTAGGGTGCAGCATCTCAGCCCTGCCGCTGAATTTGGCCCTCTGGGGTTTCCCTGGCAGCTGTACCGTCTTCCCATGGCCCCAACCCTTTTCCCCCAAATGCCAATCATCTTGTGTTTTTCCAGTCTTTTCTACATTCTGAAAAGTTGAAATGCCAAGAAATGCTGATATTTTTAATATTTGGGCCCTTTTGCCTTTGGCCCAGCTTACCATGGGAATTAGTATCCTCCCCCCACCCGCCACAAGTTCTCTGAAATGGACTTCAGCCCTTGAGCTGGGGGCATCAATACCCAGCCAGAAGGACAACTAGTTTGGCCTCCTCAGAGGAGGATTCCCCTGTTGGGTGTTGCTGTTAAGAGAAAAAGGCAGAGAGAGTATGGTCAGGAGAGAGAAATAAGGACATTTGGATTGGGTAAGGGTAATGCATGTGTACACGAAAACAGGATTCAGACATGGGTTTCATGCAGGCCGGACTTACAAGGCAAGTGCTGGGTTGGAAAGATCGAAGACTCTGGACACCCGAAGGCCGTCGACATCTTCAAGCAGAAGTGGGACCTGGTTGTCCACCTGGAAGCAGAGCGCAACTAGCACGCAGGCAATTTGTTCAACCAGCCTGGTTCTCTCCTTTCCTCTGAGGTTTGCTTTCTTTTGTGTTGATGGATTTCCTTTCATCTTTTCTTTTGTGTAGATATTCGTCCTTCTGCCCCTCCCTTTTTTCTTTCGAAATGCATCAGTTATACAACTTGTGCCGTTGTAAAAAAAAATAAAATAAAATAGAAATTAAGAGGAATAAGTTAGACATTTAGATACTGTGGCTGCATAGTTATTGGTGAAGGGAGTGGTTACTTTGCTAGGGGAGTGGGTCTGATGATACTTGCTTAGTTTTGTGTGTTTTTGATGTTGTTTTTATATCAGAACTCAAAAGAATTGAGGTGGGCTTGTGGGCGGGAGGTTCTAGTCCTCTGAAGGGTGGATGGAGTTCAGTGATGTTGGCTGCCAGCTGAGATGCAATTAAAAGGAATGAAGATAACCGTGCCGGCCCAGTCCAAAAGATCGTATTTTTTCCAGCCTTCCATGCACGCACTGGCCCACAAAGAAGCCCGCAGAGAGGACAGAGGTGCAACAGAACCTCTGCCCATGTTCCCCAGCACCTGGTGTACATAGGCATGTTCCCTTTGATGCTGGAGGCGGCATATTGCCATCCTGTCTAGCAGTCATTGATGGGAAACTCAGTATACAGGGTGTCCCAAAAAAATTGACCTCGTCTCATAGTCTAACAACATAGCCAACTCTCGCTCAAATGATCTCAAATTTTTGCAAAACGTGTAAAAACTAATGTTAGCTACACAATGTTACGCAAGACATGCTACAGCGTGTTTGGCAGGAGGTGGAGTACTGACTGGACATGTGTCGTCTCACAGGCGGTGCGCATATTGAACATCTGAAGCTTTGTGAAATCGGTTATAAAATCTACATCCCTTTGACTCTCTTGTTTGAATTTTGATAGATAAATCTTTTATGGTTCAACATGAAGCCTATTTAATTTCATTTGCCTAGGACATGTAGTTACTCAGATATTCACATTTCAAATAATGTCAAATTTTTGGGGGACACCCTTATTGGTGGAGCATGGGTTTGGCAATAGCTGTTACTGAAGACAAGCAGGACTGTCCAGAGTCTTCCTTTTCAGCTTGCCAGCCATATCCTCTTCTAGGATACTCAATTGCATTTCTCCTCTCCCAGATTCCAGATGTTTTTATTTCTTTTTCTCCCCAGACAGATGTGCAGAGTCTGTGGTGACTAAGTGCACTTGGTCCTCACCAGGCTGTGCTTCTAAGGAAATTTGGGGCGGGGGGTTACTTTTGCAATCCTTGGGGTTCCCATGAGGATGCAGATCCTTCCTGATTTTGCTTAGTGGTTCTGTTGCTGTTGGAAGGACTGCTATGTAAACAGAAGTCTCGCATCCAGAAGCCTCGCACTTCAAAGGCCCACTGCTGGCGGAGATGTTTGCCTCCTGCTTCTTTGCTCCAAGGCTCTTATGTTCTCAAGAGAATATGGAACACCCAGTTAACTGCAGAACTGCCATGTAGGTTTAAGAAAAGCAAGGAAAGAACTGTCAAGAAAACCTGGTTTAATTTTTGAACCCTGGGGATAAACAGACTGTATCTTCGGAGCGGCCACTGGTTATGTAACTGCTCAGATGTTATTATGGACTCTGTTTTCTTATTTGTGGCTCATTTCAACTTTCCTGTTCCTATAAGCAAGCTCATTAAAAAAGTTTTTAACCTAATGATATTAGTCGGGGTTATTTTGTGGCTGCTGTTAGTTTTGGGGGAGAACTCACTTCCTCCTTATTTCCAGAAGGATTCTTCTCCTTTACTGGGTAATGGCTGGATTTTATATTTCTAAAATGGGGGTGGGTGATCTTCACAGTCGAAAACATGGGGGGTACAAGGCCCACCAGCTTCAGTCAGATGGCCAGTGGTCAAGAGTAAGGGGAATTCCAGTCTAACACATCTGAAGGGTATCATTTGGCCTACAGCTGGGCTGGGATTGTTGCTATCTGTTGTTGCTATGTTGCTAAACCACCCAGTACACACACATCTGCAAATGATAATTCATATTTGCATATGCACATTTTGAATATATTAGTGGGATTCATTTGACTGTCATGGAAAGCAAAGTCAATCAATTTCTCATCCAATTTGTATTTCAAACCAGTAGAAAAATGTTTTTCTCTCAGCTAAATTGCCATGTAGGGGAACATTTGATGAGGGGGCTGAGGCAGCAGGTGGCCCCTCCCCTCTTCAGCTGCAATTCCTGTTGAAAATGCCCCCTGCATGTTAATTGGATTGGGTGCCAGGGAGAAGGCTCTCACTTGGCTCCGGGGGACACATGCAGCATTGCAAAATAGATTCAGCACCAGGCCTCGGGTGCCTGGGTCTTTACGCCTGCCCTGAGGCTGGAGATAGACTGAAGTGGGACCAGTTGAGCTGATGGCAGTGGGCTTCACATGGCAGCCCCTTCGGCGCCCTGAAACTGCTCCACAGAGTATCCACATGAAGCGAGTTGCGGTGCGGTGCTGTGGTGGTCTTCCCCTGCTGAAATCTGGCTGAGAAGCCTTCCCACAGACAGCCAATTTTGGATCAGAATTCTAGTACCTACATACCATTGGTTTCCATGACCACAATTCAGTTATAGCAGCACTGCAAGGCACACTTAGGCTAAGAAGAAGGCACTGTCACTTCCTATTGATTTTAAAACTCCCATCTTTTCTCCTAGAAGCCCAAGGCTGATGGTAATTCAGGTCAAAGTGGTCAGTGGAAGTACAGATGTTTCTCAACAGTCCCATTAGCCAAGGGGCAGAGAGAGGACCCCCAAATTATGGGCAGCAGCATTCAATTCTGTCAATAAACCGAGGTTCATCTCTACCATGAGCAGATCTAACAGGACCAAGTATCCTTTTGGGGGACCAAGCCACCCCAAACACTTTGCAGCACTGCAAGGAACTTTTGCTGGTAATACATGTTTCTGCCCTGTTACTGTGAGGCTTGGGAGCAGGAAAGTCTGTGGGGTGGAAGGCGGGTGACAGATGATGTCAGCACCGCTGCTAATTAAACAGGCTCTACTGCATCCTAGCAAGCCCTGGCTCTGCTACAATGCTAGGTAATTATAATCCAAAATGTAAGAAAATAACCTTTTCACTATACGTCTCAGTGAAGTAAAACAGAAAAGTTGAAAGTGCTCACTTAATAGAATTTTATAGAAATGAGTCAGCCAGAAAGCAGGAAAATAGCTTGGATGGATGAAGCACCTGGAAAAGAGTTGCAGGAGATGAAGAGAGAGGAAAATGTGAGAAGCAGCCAGAAAAGGGGGGGGGGGTATTGAAGAGCAGACAGGAGGGGAGGGGAGGGGAGGGGGCCACTGGGTTTCCCCACAGCCCATCCTTCTCCCTACATCTGTCCCAGGTTTGAGCAAAGGCTGAATAGTTGACACTTGGGGGGCGGGGGTGATGGGAGCCCCATCTGGCAACTGATGCTTCCTAGGGAGATCTAGTGGATTCCCCCAACGCATCTCTCCCTCATTGCCTTTCCAAAGATCTTGGCCATTTTCTTGACTTATTTTCCACAAATGTTTTAAAAGCGCCAACCAGGGTGAGTCAGAGTCTGCCCTTCTTTACCAATGGAATGACTCCAGGCCCTGAGGGTGCTCAGCAGGGCAACTCCCCTCTGGGAGCAACCAACCCATGGCATCCCTCCGGACCCGTCTCCACCTTTACGCTCCAGCAAGGCACGTCTCCTGGGCAGGCTGCTGGGAGGCCCGTCCAGGGATGCCGAATGGGAATTTTTGACTGACAGGGGGAAAAGGTGTCCCTCGCAGCCTCAGAGGTTGCTGGGCAGCAAAGAGAAAGGGAGCCAAGGACTGAAGGGAGTCAGGCCCTTAACCAGCCTTAAAGTTCTGGGGGCGGACATATAAAGAGGCAAGTTTGTCTGGTTTGCAGGTTTTGGGAAGACAAAATTGTAAATGATTTAAAATTATTTATAAATGCGGGGGGGGGGATGGGTCAGAGAACATTGGAGGGGGCAGTCTGCCACCACCATCCCTTGCCCCAGGGAGAGTCCAGAACTGAATGCATTTTGTATCCACACCAATGAATTTTCAGCTGCTGCAGCAGCACCTGAAAGAACAGCACAGTCTCACAGGGAGGTGCTTGGGTGCTCCTGCCAAAGTCCACCCATGACATCCTTAATGAGGTTTCTCCTGCTGACCAGAAGATCCGTGTCCTCATGTACATAGGTCGAAAATCCACAACAGGAATGTTTTCTTTTAAAGGATTCATTCTTGAGAATAACGGGCTGCCAAGGAATTGTTCCAGATGGAGCCCCTGAGCAGTCCTCAGTTGGCCCTTTTATGCATTGATCATTACAGGGTTACAAGTAATACAGTTAACATTTTCCAATGGACTATAGAAGTAAAAAGTCACTTGCATACCAAAGAAGATTCTGTGAAGGAGGGGAGAGGATGCGGTGCTATTACATAGAACTGGAGGAGGATGCGGTGGGCTGGTGTGAATTGCCCTTCGTCTGAGCTGCTGTTACCTGCCAAGTGCCAACTAGTTCTCCCTGGACTGGTACCCAGTCAGTGCCAGCTACATTTCAAGGATGCTCACAGGCTGATTACTGTGAAAAAGAACAGAGGGCTTTTCTCAGGCCTGGTTATGTGTCCGTGACTGCATGATTTATCCAATGAACGTTCCACCTATTGATTTGTGCATCACCACCTTCGTGATATTTGCAAATGTCAGAACCCCGGAATCTCAATTTGAGAAGAGGGAATAAAACTCGGGTTCATGGGAACGCTCAAGTGTCCAGAGCATCTGAGGCTTTATTGTATTTACCCCAAGGTAAATCCCTTCAAAGGGATTTTTCTTGGCTAGATAGAATACGAAGCATAAAAACAGCAACATCGAAATGACAGAATAATTAGGAATACAACAGAAAGCACAACCTAATATATTTTGGAGCGAGTCAAACTTATGATACTTACTGAAGGCCGAAATGGATTTGGACCCAAGCCTGTCCATATTTAGACAGAAATACAGTATAGCCCTACAACTCCCAGCATTTCCCAGTCCTGTTCTGCATCACTCACTGGGAGTCAATGGGATTTTTTCTGTCTCAGCATGTATGGGATTGCATCCTTCACAGATAATATGGTAGATCAAGGATGGGCGACTTGCAGGCCTCTGTCCTGTTTCAGTCTGATTCAAAAGCCTTCTGTGAACAGCTCCGGCCGCAAGCAAGGAGCTGCCCCTTTCCTAGCCAGTCACAGAGGGAATAAAGAGGGAAAGCAGAAAAAGAGGACAGTGGAAAAACAGGAGGGGCGACCCACAAGGAAGTTTGCCCGCAACTAAGCTATATTAATCTGCTAAAAAGGGTGCCTCAATCAGTCAGATGTCATGCTAACCATTTTTATAGGGTAATTTTAAAATCTGTGGCTGTCAGGCAGTGTGGCAGAACAGAAAGCCTGGCAGGTGTGGGAGCGACCTTAGGTCCTTCCCCCCTCTCTGTTTCCTCTCATGTTTCAAAAGAGAAGAGTCCTTTAACGATAATCCAAGTCTGGTTTAAAGATAAAGGCCCCTAAGAAGTGAGGGGTTCAGGAGGGAGCCCTGCAGGTGCCCCTCCACAGATGGCAAGCGGAGAACAAAACGGGCAGCCACACGGTCTGCTCAGTCACAATCGTACCTCCTCTGGTGAGCAGCATCGTATGTATATTTCAGCCATGCTTTTGATTTCCAAATGTGAGCCTAAAATTGTATGTTATCAGAAGAATGATCTGAGCTTTGTTTTAGCCTCACAGGAACAAAAGAAACTGCCTGAGACCTGTGTCCATTGAGCCCAATATCGCAGGCACGGACTGGCAGCAATGGGCTGCACAGGTTTCCGCCATTCCGGGAGATGGCAGTGGTCAGACCAGTAACAGCAGGTGCCAAACCACTGGGCCGCGAGGGCAGGAAAAAGCTTTGCATGGAAGAGGCCGGCCAACCTTTCCCCCAGGAATCTGCGTTGTGAAGAGAAAACGCCAACGAGGATGGGATTTGAACGAGGATGGGATTTGAACCCATGCATGCACAGCCCAATGGATTTCAAGTCCATCACCTTCACCACTCAGCCACCTCGTCCCTCTTGATGCTGGGGTGATGCACTTCCTCCTTTTAGGTTTAGCTTACATATTCACCCTCTTCCAAGATGAGCATCCTTGCTGGAGCCTGTAGGCACGTAATTTGTAAACAGACATGTTTGGTTTTCTACAGCAGTGCTGGCTTATTGATACTGACAGGAAAAAAAACAGAGAGAGTCTGCTGGGGGTGTATAAAAGAACATTTAGGGCTTATTCAGACATATGGGAAATCCTTGTGGCATGTAAGAAGCCCCCAAAGGGACTACAAAGATGGAGTTTGTACAAGATGCCTTTATTGCTTACACAGTTTGGAGGAGGAGGGGGGATCAGGTAGGCAGTTTGCAAGAGGCATGTGAGAGTGATAAGATAATGTGATTAAGATAACACAACATGTCCAGAAAGACCCTTCGGGAAAGGCAAACAGGGGGATGTCAATGGTGTGCCCTCAAAGGAAGACCTTTCAGCACATGCAGATGTCAGCATCTGTAAGGTGCACATAGGGAGCAAGACTTGCAACATGGATTCCTAATCAGATCACGAATCCCACTTTACGTCTGCAGCTGCTCTTACAGTTTCAGGCTTTCAGCAGCCATACTATCCAGATTTATGCAAGGACATAAATATAATTACTATATAGGGCAGAGGAAGGAGGTCAGTTTGCTTGGGTCCCTTTTTGTCAGGTTTCCCTTTTCTTTGCCTAGTACTCTTCAATCTTTTATCATCTTTATTCCATCATTTTACCCTCTATTTCAGTTGTGGCAGTTTTACTTTTTTAAAGGCCATATACCAAAGAACAGCAAAACAAACTATTGCCGGTAAGTTTATTTTTATTCTTACACTTCTGAATTGATCATTAGTCAAAGCTCTTTGGACAGGGCACAAAATGGACCCAAATTATCTCGAATTATATTAGGAGTGGGCAATTTATTTTGACCCCAAAGGACACATGCCATGTTTGATGGCAGACGACATGGAAGGACCCCTTTGGGTTCAAGTGTTGTGGGAAAGGGACACAAGTCCCCATCTCTGCTTTCTCCACACCGTGCATTATTTTGAACACCTCTGTCATGTTCAAGGTAGTTTGCAAGCATGTCGTACACCCTTTAAATATTGATTTAGCTGCAAAAAAATATGGTTCGTTGGAATAATTTTATGGGTTTTCTGCACTATGGTCCTGTTTTAGGAATTGTTGCAAACTGCTCCGAGAGCTTCAGCCATCGGACGATTAAATAATTAATAGTAATAATTACATAGCCTGGTGCATTTTATTCCCCTGGTGCCTCACAACTTATGCCCGCCACTTGCTTTGCAGGCGCAACCGATGCCTATATAGGCAGACGGAAACCCTGCAGTGGCGGAGAGTTGGAGGACCCTTTTCCCACGAAACATGCGCAGAATCGTGCCCTGGATGGCTGCGGAGCGCAACCGATGTCCGGGGGCAGCGCGCTGCAGCGGCCCGCATGCGGCGGGCGCGGGGCGGCAGCCCGGCCCTGTGAGCAAGGGGCGGCGTTGCCGTCGGGCCCACCCCACCGCACTCCGTGGGGCGTCCTCCCCGGCTCAGAGGCACGCCGCTCCTGGCCCTCTAATGGTTAATCCGACGACCGAGCTCTGATGCTCAGAGAGGCAGGAAACCGGAGTGCGCGGGCGGGGGGCTCCGCGGGGGCCGCACTTTCCTGTCCCACCGAGCTGCAAGTGGACCTGGCCCGCGCGTGTCCTCGGTCGGGGCCGGGCCGGCCGGGCCGGGCCGAGGGGGCGGGGAGAGCGGGCGAGAGGAGCGCCGGATTAATGGAGGAAGCAGGAAAGGTGCAGAGCGGGTGGGCGGGGAGGCGCGGGCGATCGCACGGGGGGCCCCGGAGCGGCCGCAGGAGTGCCCGCCCCAGCCCGGCCCCTTGGCAGCCGGGCGGCCTCTGCGAAGCCCCCGCAGGCCTGCCGGGGAGGGAGCGGGCCTGTCCGCGATGGGCCCCCGGCGTCGGCACGAGCAGCGCCGGCAGCCGGGCAGCCGCTTCCTCTTCCCTCGGGCGGCCCGGGAGCCCGCGCGGCACGCAGCCCCGGCGCGGCCGGCCCCCCGCCTGCGCGCGTGGGGTGGCCCGCTGACGCCCGGACCCCCGTCCCCACGTGCCGGGTGACGGGATCCTTAAATCCGTGCCGCATTGTGCGCGAAAGGGCTTTCTTTTGTCTGCCCGGAGGGCTCTCCTCGGCCAAATGCTCGCCGGGTCAGCTCCAGAAAGCATGGCCAGGAGTGCTGGGAACTGTAGTCCAAAGCATCTGGAAGGTGCCAGGTTGGGGAAGACTGATGTAGACTGTGCCTATAATGGGAGGCTCTGTTTTTCGGAAGTGCTGTGCATTGCTCTGTCCCCCCTGTATGAAGTGTGGGAATCTTGGTGACTCACATCACCTCTTGTGGTGGTAAATTCACGGAAATAGTGTGTGTCTGTGTTTGTAAATAAGTGGATGATGAAACAAAGATTTACAGGGGTATTTAAAATATTGCTTTTCAGCTGCTTTGGTATCACAAACTTAAAATATTTATTACATTTCTCTACCACCCAAAAGCTGAAGCTCTCCGGGTAATTTACCTAAACTGAAAACCTTCAAAATACAATATTGTACATAATGTAAAAGCCATTTAATATAAATATATAATTAGACATACACACCCCTATATCTGTATCAAGCTAAGCAATTATAATAATGTGAAATTGCAGGACCTAACTTAATGCTTTTTCTTATGCCACTGAATGAATGACAGAAGCTGATTGACAGCTCCTTTAAGTCTGCAAGACAGATTTTTAAAAATAAGAAAGCTCAAAGGACTAAATCCAAATTAAGTATTAACATTACAGTCAAATCCATGAATTCTTGACAGTGTCAACATCCATTGATACCCAACTGCAGTCTTTGACTATACCCAGTTTTGATGGCTGTTTTGTAGGAAACACTGGCAAGTCGGGGAGGACTGACCCATCAAAATTAAAATATTGAAATGGGTTGGACAAGATTGCCATTTCCAAATAGTGTTCGGAGAGCCGCTGTTGTTTTTCTGACATAGCAGAAGGCACACCCAGATGCTTGTATTCCCTTGTCCATCCACCCCCATTGCGTTTTGTGACTGGGTCTCTTTCCCCTGTGCTGCCATTTTTTCATGGCAGGCTTATGGGAACATTCAGCTTTCTCAAGTGGGCCCAAGGTGTAAAACACAAATGACAATAAGATTCTAGCACAAGGTCAGTAATTATCCCTTTATTTATCAAGGAGTACAGAATCCTCAAATGCCACTACTATAAACCTCAAACAACAGCCTGGCTCAGTGCAAATTGCCACAGATAAAGCAAGTCAGAAAGTGCTGATAATTGGCACTTTTTAATCAAGGAGCAGTTCAGCAGATCATCTGTTTGTTTGTTTTTTTTCCAAATCCTGGAGAACCTCTAGGTATTTTAATCCGGGTTGTCAAGAACACAGGCCCTTGTTGGTCTGGTGAAGTTCTGAGCCATGGTTTAGAAGTTACCGGGAAAACCTGTGGCAGCAGCTGCCGGCGGAGTTGCTGAGCTTTCCTCTGAAACTCGGACTTTGGCGTCACTGCAGTGTTTTGAATTTCTGTGTTCCTGTCAGCATCCTGAGGGTGAGAGAAGCTGTTCACTGAGATAAGATGGCAGTAATTTTGGAGCAAAAAAAGAAAATATGCTGGGGCCCTGTGCCCTCCGACTCAGAAGAAAGCTATTTTTAACATCCAGGGGCATATCAGTTTATGCGCACAAATCTACTGTGTAGATGTGCTAATGTGTTTTCCCCATAACACAATAACTTTCCTTTTTAAAAACGAGGGAAATTCAACGATAACAAACAGTGTTAAGGATATCTTATACTGGCTTAAGTTCCACAAAGTCAAGAAATGGAAAGCGAAGGCTAATGCCTTAACAGCTGTGCCCCCTCTGAGCAGCAGTGTTGTTGTACAGTGTCACAAGTTGTGCTTAGCCGTGGGCCAGCTTGTAAGAGGACTCCAGTAAGGTTCAGATGCTTCGTGAAGTGATACAGGTCCAGGGCAGCGTATGTCTTTGTTGCAGCTTTCAAGCACTCCATCTTCTCGGTCTGGGCCTGGAAAACTGAGGGACCCCTATGGGCACATGGAGGATAATTTGTACCCAGGCACAATTTGTGACATTGCACACAGTAATTAACTGATCACAAGGTACATCTTTTAAGCCAAGAGTGCTTTTATAGCTTGTTGTGAACTGTCCAGAGAGCTTCAACTATGGGTGGTATAGAAATGAAAAACATCATCATCATCATCATCATCATCATCATCATCATCAAATTTCCTGGTGCTGCAGAGCTTAGATACAAGATAACCTTAATTCTGGTCTTAAACTGAGGGATTGTCATCTTACAGCATTTTACCTGGTCTTCAGACAAAAAAAAAGACTTGCATAGATAAGAGAATTCCTGCTCTCAGGTTTGCAATCTAAAAGACTCAGTGCAAAAGGGAGGGGGAGGATGAATTCTTTAGCATCAAATGTTTTTAACCATTTAACTTGAATATCTTTTTAGCCTCTGGAATAAAGTAAGGAAGTAAGAAAACATGCCAACAAAAGAACGAAGACTACGAGAGAAGAGACATAGACGCTACCTCAAAAATAAACAAGCGGTGAGGAGAAATAATTCAGGGATCAGACCAAAAATCAAAAACACACGGGACAGTAAGCATAAGCAATATTACAAAACATTAAAAACAAAAAAATGATCATATAAAGTGCATATATGTAGGAGGGGAAAATTCATCAGGCATAGTTTTCTGTGTTGAGGCATGTGTATTAGGTGCACTTTTTGTTAAAGGAAGACTTAAAATTGTTAATTAACACTAGAAAGGTACATAAAATTAAGGACTTCATTACATATGAGAGGAGCTAAAAGTTAACTTTGAATGCAAAGTCTGGGCACAGAAAGTCATTTTGTCACTCTATGGGAAGACAGAAGTCTAAATGTTGAAAGGAATAAAAAGGTTATGTTTGAAGAATCTGCATAAACTGTAACAGGCACTTGTACTGTGCCCAGGTTTTAAAAAAATGTAAGGAAAGAGAAGGTGAGAATCAGTAGGATACAGCCTTTCTTTAAAAATGCAGCATCCATGGTCATGCCCTGTTTGTCTGCAGATACTAGGCAGGAAGATTTGGAAGAAATACCTTTTGCCAAGTCAATGTATTTTGAATGCAGTGGGTTTAGAAGTAGTTCAAGGTGCAGTAGGAACTTCTGCAAAAAAACTAATGCAACTTATCAAGCCATTTTTGACAGATAGTCACCTAAACATGAACAGGAGAAAACTATCTTGTAAGGACATACTGTACTGTCCTTTAAGAGCCATAATAAATAAACTAGTGTTACGTTTCTATATCTATCCACGATAACTTTGACACTTCAAAATTTTGGGGTTATTAGGCACTCCATTTTCTAAAGAAAATTCACGCGCACCTTCACAAAATGGCTGCCACAAGTGGTATCCAGTAATGAAACAGGGAATGCCAAAGGCAAAGGTAGAAGCAGAAGACCCGTTGTGAAATGGATCTAGTCCATACAGGAAGCCACAGCTATGAGTTTGCAAGAGCTGAGCAGGGCTGCCACAGACAGGAGATTTTGGAGGGGTCTCATTCATAGGACTTTGCAAGTCGGAGACGGCTTGATGGCACGTACAACAACCCACTAACAGAATGGCTTCTGGGGTGAGCCCCACCAGTCACCAGAGAAAGTGAAACTGGTGATGTCTGAAGACCAAGTACCCAAGAATTTGCATACAAAGGGGAGAGAGGGTGTGAGTCTCCGAACAAAGACTTCTTCGAATCCACTGTTTTCTTTGTACACTCACTCATGCCCACTTCCACACCCCTCTGTCACAGAGTGCTCTTCTTTGCCTTCTGCTCCGTACTGGGCTTCCCGGCAAGCCACCTCCCATTTCTGTCCGCAGCTCCCCTTGCCCTCCCGCCGTGTCTTCCCTCTTGGTCCTTCCCCAGTCTTGGGTCAGTCCTGGTCTCCCCACTTCCCACTCCCCACTTCCCACTCCTCTTCCCACTCCATGGAGCCACTCCCCCAGCATTCACAGGGTGACGGATTGCCACTTGCCAGGTGTCCCCACCTCGAAGCAGCAGGCGTCTCTCATCGCCCTTTCCCCTCCTAATGGCCGGGAGGGGTCCCAAGCTGTGTGCTTGCTTCCAAGCATCTGCTGTGTTTACTTCCTGAGAACGTCTCTGCGTTTGCAGTCACAGGGTTGTTACTGTGAGGGTAGGATTGGGAGAATTATGTAAGCTGCCTTGAGTTCCTTGAAAGAAAAAAGGTGGGATGCAAATAAAATAAATGAACGAACGAACGTTATCCGAGAGGCATTCTGGGGAATAAAGGCAGCTGAACACCAAAAGCTTTCTGGGAAATAGAGGGTAGACAGCAGAAGACCAGCAGTTCACTGTGAAGCAGAAATAAATGTTAAATTTTATAAAATCGGGTATCATAAGCGGAGTTCATGGGTTAGCAGAGGAGAGAATTGTGTTACTCCTTGACTTAACCATTTGTACGGGGACTTGATTTTCCCCATCTCATGTTTTCTTAACTTTAAATTGAATTTCAAAAATTTGATAGGAGTTACTGTCTTGGAAATCAGAATAGAACTGCAGACAACTATTTGTAAGCTACACATTTTTAGAAACTGCAGTTGGTTCCCTCTCCCACCAATATTTTTAAAAAGTTATTTATTTGTTCATTCACTTTTAATCTGCCCAATAACCAGTGTTCTTTGAGTCGATTCCAAACAGTTAGAAACTAAAACGCCATTCAAACAATTAAAATATAAAATACAATAGAATAATAAGAAGACTAGAATCCAGTACAATTGTTGTAAACCCTATCTCCTTTTATTAGCATTTGGAACAAGGCTTTCTGGACATATCAAAAGCTGTCTCCCTTGTATGGGAACTTAAGTTATTTCTAATAAAATAATCATCTACTGTTATCATTTTTATACATGGTTTTGCATGATTAAAAATAGATTCTAGGAAACTATTAGAGAAAAGAAAGCTTCCTTCAGAAAATGGAAGTCTTGCCCAAATGGAAAAAAACGTAAGGGACAACAAGATGGATGGCGCGTGTATCGGTGGTACAAGCTTAACATGACTCCCCTTTGACACGACCCACCTGAACATCAGAAATAAAGAGATGCTGAATGACACTGAAACGCTTTTTAAAATGTGGATAAAACAAGGGATATGCAAGCTGACAATCAGAGAAGCAAGGAAATAGTTTGAGGAGTACAACGCTAACAATATCAAGGCTGGCAATAAAGAATTTTTTAAATATTTCAGAAGAAAGCAAGCAGCTAAGGGAGCAGCTGGGCCATTGGACTGGAGGATAATGCAATTGAAGGAGCGCTCGGGGTGGCACGGAGATTGCTGACCAGCCAAATGAATTCTTTCTGTCAGTCTTCAGAGCTGAAGATGCAGACCTTTCCCTGAGCTTATGTATTCCGGAAGGGAGCCTGAGGAATTACGGAAGATGGTAGTAACGAAAGAGGAAATTCTTGATCTGATTCGCAAAATGAAAGTCGGCAAGTCAACCAGTCCAGCTGGATCCATCCTAGAGTTATCAAAGAACTCAAGCAAGAAATGTCCAACCTTTGTACCAAATATTTAACTTGTCCCTAAAATTAGCCCTTGTGCCAAAGGATTGGAGAATGATCCGTTTTTAAGGACCTACACCAAAGGCTCCTGAGCAAATTAAGCAGCCGTGGAATAGAAGGGGGAGGGGCCCTCTTCTGGATCACTAATTCATTAGGGAACAGAAGGCGGAGGGTGGGAACCAATGGCAGCTTCTCCCAATGGAGAGATGACCCCAGTGAAGTCCCACAGGCTCCTGTGTGAAGACCACTGCTCCTCGGCCTCTTCATAAACAATCTGGAAAGCAGCTAAGGAAGGCATTGGGGCCATTAGAAATTCGGCGTGGGTAGTAAAGTAGCTAAGTGTGCTGATGACACTAAACTCTTTAGGATGGTTAACACCAAAAGGGATTGTGAGGTGTTCCCAAAAGATTTCTCCAAGCTGGGATAATGGGCATCAAAATGCCAAATGCAGTTAATTATAAGCAAGTGTAGAACGATGCATGTTTGGGCGAAAAATCTCAACTTCAAGTATAGACTGATGGGATCTGAAAAGGCAGTGACTGAGTAAGAAAGGGATCTTGGGGGGAGAGGGGTGGACAGTTCGATGAAAATGCCAGCCCAGAGTTCAGCTGCTGTGGCAAAGGCAGACTTCCGCTAGGCCTCATTAGGAACAGAATTGAAAATAGAACTGCCTAATTCTTACTCTTATATAAATCTTTGGTGCTACTGCACTTGGAATATTGTGTTCGGTTCTGGCCGCCTTCCCTGAAAAGGGAGATGATTGAGTTGGAAAAAGTACAGAGAAGGGCAGCAAAAACGATCGGGGCTGGAGCAGCACCCCGAGGAGGAGTGGCTGCCACTGGGTCTGTTCAGCTTAGAAAAAGGGGCGAGTGAGGGGAGTCACGATAGGGGTGTTTAAAACAATGCAAAGGGAGGAGAAAGTGGAGAGGGGGGCCTTTTTCTCCCTCTCCCATCATACTTGAATGGGTCGTTCCATGGAGCTGATTGGTGGGAGGTTTAGGACAGAAAAAAGGAGGGACTTCACAGCACATAGTTAAAAAGATGGGATTTGCTGGCACAGGAAGTGGTGGTGACCACCAATTTGGATCACTTTAAAAAGGGATTGGACAGATGCGTGAGGGAGGAGGCTCTCCGTGGCTACTAGCCCCACTGGCCACGTGCTCCCTTCTTCACCAGAGGCGGCCTGCCTCCACACACCAGTTGCTGGGGAACTTGGGCTTGCCCTCATCCTGCTTGAAGGATCCTGTGGGCAGCTGGCTTGCGCACAGACTGCTGGGCTCGATGGACCTTGGGTCTGATCCAGCATGTGTCGTCGTAAACTACCCAGAGAGCTTCAGCTATGGGGTGGTATAGAAAGGAAATAAACAAAAAATAATAATTTCAACTTGTCTGAACTACCAAACATGGTTACCCATGCTTCATTTTTGTTTTTAGAAATGTTCATGTAAGAAAAGTTTGAAATACCTGAAATGTGATCATGATGACCTTTAGTTAATTATTTACTCTTCCTTGAGAACAACCTGCATTTCCTTTTTTTTAAAGTCTCTCTGTAAGACTCCGTTTGGCTGGGCTGAAGTTGCACGTGGTGATATTAAGTACCTAACCAGGTGTTAATCTCAAGATTTCCCTCCCAGTCTGCCACCAGTAGCTCCTGCTAGGGTTGGCCCTGGGTCGCTTCACTTTGGGGATCCCCTCCTTTTCCCCCAAAACCGTCTTTCTAAGCCCACCAAACTTGTCCTTTGCAGCCTGCAGCTGGGGGGAGCATGTACAGGTGGGGGCCAGTGTAACAAAACCGATGCCCTTGCCCGCCGGAACATCAGGTATAAAGGGATTTCGATGCCCCTGGTAATGCTATTTCAAAGGCAGATAGAGCAGGATTTCAGCCAGTGCAGTCAGATGTATGTGTGTGAAATCACAAGGGTGTTTTCCTTTGTGTTAGCTGATGTTCTATTTCTTTTCCAGAAAGTGGGGCTAGAAATGGAAGCGCAACCCATGTATGCCGAGAAATTGGACTTTAAAGGAAAGAATCCGCAAGCTGGGCTGGACGGAGAGCTGCTGGCTGGGACGGACTCGCACCAGATCAAGCAGGAGCCGGAGGACGGGCCGCAGCAGCAGCAGGTGCCACGCTGGGGTGCCCAGTGGCAGGACTTCCTGATGGCCATGCAGCCTCCTCGTTCAGGGTGGGGGAATTCACAGCTGCCCAGTCCACTCCTGTCAGGGGAGGGGGTCAGCTCACCCCAGGCCCCTTTCAAGGGAGCCGCTGACGCCTGCCAGTGGCCTGCAAGAGAGGGAGAGACCTGGATGCCGCCTGACCTCAGCGAGGATGGCGAAGACCCAATTTCCTCGGTAAAAGTGAAGGAAGAGATGCTGGGAGAGGAAGACCCTGCTAGCTTGGAAATGGACCGGCAGCATTTCAGGCAGTTCTGCTATGCAGAGGCCGAGGGACCCCGGGAGGTATTTCTCCACCTTCAGGAGCTTTGCTATCAGTGGCTGAAGCCGGAGAGGCGAACCAAGGAGCAGATCCTGGAGCTGGTGATCCTGGAGCAGTTCCTGACGATCTTGCCTGAGGAAATGCAGAGCTGGGTCAAGGAATGCGAGCCGGAGACCTGTGTGCAGGCAGTGGCCCTGGCGGAGGATTTCTTGTTGCGGCTGCAAGACACTGAGGGCCTGCAAGAGAAGGTGAGCACATGTGATGTACTTGCATGAGGTACATCTTGGTTGTCAAACACAAGTTTCAAAGGCAGACCACAATTAAACATGACAATAACATGCAAATTCATATCAGAATGTTCAGGGTGAAGCATCATTTATAAAATGCAGCTCCAGAGAAGCCAGAAATCAGTTTGAAACAGCAGAAGTCATACATAAGCCATCTTTTCGCATGAAAATGTATTCCAGTGGTGCTTATGGCACCTTGCTGGGAAGAGAATTCCACAGGTCTGGTGCCACCGTTCAGAGGATAATGGAGCAGGTACCAGCCAAGCAAATATTTCCCACCCAATGAAACACCTTTGCAATTGTTTCTTGAAAGTAGCATGCACCTATCAAGAAATAATAGTAGAGTCTTACAAGACCAGTGTAAAACAATATTACTGGGAGAAACCAAACGACTAGCCATGAAAGAGGTCTTTCTATGCTGGGCGGGACCAAGGGTCCATCTCGTCATGCATCCCATTTGCCCAGTGGCCCAGTCCACTGCCTCCAAGGCGCAGGGCGTTCCAGCAGAAGTCCTTCCTTGCGGCTCGCTTCCAGCATTGGGTGATCAGGGCACAGTGCCTCTGAAGACAGCTTCTCTTGAACACTCGGGACAAAAAGCTGCTCTCCAGTTGCTTCGTGCCAAGTTGTCTCCTGCCATTGCCTGTGGCTTCATTCTCAACGCATTCTCAGCACATTCAAAGATAGGCTGGACGTGCACATGGTGGGTGCGTCGTGGGCTGAGCCGGCTGGTGCCGGAGGTCAGACTAGATGGTCCCCTGGGAGGCCCCTTCTGACTCGCTCTGTTTCTGTGTTTCCTGGCCCCCTTCCTGAATTGGTCTCATTCATTGGTGTCCTGCAGCAGGGGGTTGGGTCCGATGGCCTTCATGGCCCCCTCCAACTCTACTATTCTATGATTTTCAAAGCCATCTCAGAACAGACTGCACTTCAGTCAGATCTTCTGCTATTCTTATTTAACTTAAAGGTATGTGGGGGGGGTGTAGGTATGTGAGGGGGTGTCACACAGAGGTGGGTAGAAACCCGTTCTCTCTGCAGAGGAAGGTTGGATGCACTCCAGCAGAGCCAAGCTCAAGGAACCAAGGTTGAATTTGGATGCCAGGAAGTACCCCAAGGGTATGGAAAGGGCTTCCACAGGAGGCGGTTGAGGCCCCATCATTGAGGGTGTTCAAAGATAGGCTAGACATGCCCATGGTGGGTATGTGCTGAGCGGAGCCAGCTGGAGCCAGGGATCAGACTAGATGGCCCAGGAGGCCCCTTCTGACTGGCTCTGTTTCTTTGTTACTATGTAAATAAGGAGCCTATGACTTTTGCTAGAGGAAAGGCAGTGGGAAAGGAGGTGTTTCTCTCCAACAGGATTTTCTGGATCTAAATTGCTACCCTCCAAGGTATTTTTCCTCCAGCTGCGTAAGTCATGGGGGGATTGAGTTCCCTCTTGCAGCCTCACCCCCTTTCCCATTGTAATACACTGATCATTACATTGCTCTTCTTTACACAGTTGTTTTAATTCAAGGAAAGGTTGTGTTCGGAGGATCATATCCCAGCCGGGTTATGGAAAATCCATTCTCTGCATGGGCAGCTTCTTTGTTCATGCTGTTTACCATCTTTTTCCCTGAGCTGGATAGTAAACCAACTTCAAACCATGTTTCGACGGAATGGGAAAGGACAGCCCTTCGGCTCCCAGGTTTGTTCATTTGACAGGAGGTGCGAAGGGGCTGCATTGGCAAGCAAAACACTTGCTCACATTTTCACTCATGCTCTTGCTGTTGCGTTGTTGTTGTTGTTGTTGTTGTTACTGTTTTTATTTTACTTACCTTGAACTAAGTCCCATTAAACTGAATGTGGTGACTTTCTATAGTCATGAATAATGCCAGAGTATTAAAAATGCTTCTCATGCTCTGACCCACTTTGGTTTGGAGCCAAAAGTTTCTTCAAATGCGTTTTATGGTGAACTATCTCAGGTACAACCTCCGCCATTCGCTTTCTGAAGTTTGCCATTGTGTTCTTCTCTGTTGCAGGTTTCATGGCCTATAGAAGACATGGCTGCTCATTCCCCAAAGTCGGAGCAGGATCCATCAGAAACTGTGAATGTCTCGCTCTCAGCAGATGCTGAGGAAGAGAGTGAAGGGGAGGTCACCTTTCTGGGTAAGGTATCACAAGGGTCTGGATCCTCGAAGATGTTCTTACAATTTGGAGGCTGGTCGGTTGTGGGGCAGGTGGGGGGCGTTCCTCTTCCTTGACCAAAATTTTCAGAATGCTGTCAGGATTAAACTTCCAGAACTTGAAGACTTCCAGTTCAGTGGCAGAAAATGTGCTCTGCATCCAGAGGAGTCCGGGATCAGTCCCTGGAATTCCATTTAGGGCTGTGGGATTGACAATTTGGAGAGCTGCAAACAGTCCGTGAAGATCATCAGGAGCAGATGGCCTGATGGTATCCTCCAATCTGGCATCCTCCAGGTGTTTTGAATACAGCTCCCAGCACTGCTGCCCATCGGTCCTACTGGCTGCAGATAGACATGGACGTCCAAGACATCTGGGGGACAGCACTTCGAAGAAGACCCATAGCAGGAACATTTTCGAAAGATCCAGTTAGGCATGATACCGAGTGCATATTGTTGCCGGTGTGCATGTTGTTGTTTAACACAAACAGCATCCACTGGGGACAAGGCAGATGTCTGAATATCATACTGCAAACATACTGCAAAGGAGAAGGATCTTGGGGTTGTTGTAGATCACGAGCTGCATATGAGCCAACAATGCGATGCAGCTGCAAAAAGCCCAGATGCTATTTTGGGCTGCATCAACAGAAGCATCACTTCCAAAACACGTGAAGTACTAGTTCCCCTCTACTCGGCACTAGTCAGACCTTACCTGGAGTCCTGTGGCCAGTTCTGGGCACCTAAGTTCAAAAAAGACGCAGAAAAGCTAGGAAGGGTAGAGAGGAGGGCAATGAAGGTGATTCCGGGACTGGAGGCAAAGCCCTTTGAGGAAAGATTGGGAGAACTGGGCATGTTCAGCTTCTAGAAGAGAAGAGTGAAGGGAGATAGGATAGCACTCTAGAAGTACCTGAAAGGCTGTCACAAAGAGGAGGGACAAGATCTCTTCCATTTCAGAGTGCAGGACATGGAATAATGGACCCAAGTTAAAAGAAACCAGGTTTAGACTAGACACCAGGAAGAACTTCCTCACTGTCAGAGCAGAACGACACTCTCCTTGGCTGGAGACGTTCGAAAAGCGTCTAGACAGTCACCCGAGTGGGATGGTGTAAATTGGAGTCCTGCAGCAGCAGGGGGTGGACCCAGTGGCCTTCTGGCCTCTTCCAGCTCTACTATTCTATGATTCTGTGAGGTGTCGAAAGCAAATTAAAGCGCTTCTGACCTCGTCACGATCCCGAGGGAAATCTACGTTGGACAGAAATGCCCCCTTGGCAGCACTCAGATGGTAGCATTGAGGTTTCTTGTTCTGTTAACTGCCTGGCACAAAATTAAGGTTGATCTGGCCTATTACGTTGATAAAGCCCTGCTTTCTGTAAAGCGGAAAACTGGCAATGGAAAGTTCTCGGTTGGACTTCGCAACCAAAAGCTGTACAAGGAAATCTATAGGAACAATCAAAAACATGACAAACCAGAATGTGTTACATAATAAAAATCGACCGAATAGACCAAAACATACAAGTCAACTATATGGCTTCAAAAATTAAAAGTCAAAATACCCTACATCATTCAAATACGTAACACGAAAATGTGTTTTGTGTATAATGCTTTTATTGCATTAATATATTTCAGTTTGTTAGTTTTGGGGTGGTGGGGTTTGCTCAGTGGGACTTTGCCACATAATCAATCAATGAATTAATTATATTCTGTTTATTAAAAAATTAAAACATGAAAGGCAAACTACAGTTGTCATCATTAAACAATAAAATATAAAGCCATAATCTTTGTCGCAATGCAAATAATCATGTAGTTATGCCAGTCAGTCCTCCCATCCTTGCATTTCCATTTGATTACTTGACTTTCCATAAGATTTACAGTTTTCTATTTTTAAGGTCTTTTATGCTGTCGTAAATGTGGCATTAACTTTTATGTTGTGCAGTTACATGAAGGCAGGAGTAGGTTATACAGAATTAGGCTTAATTATAGTTCTCATAAATTCATTTTGCAGTATGCACTCTCTTCTCTGTTTAGAGGGTCTGGCTGCTTTCAGACATAACACTAAACTATGGTTTAGCATTACAAGAACACAGCTAGCCTCTGCTAAGGCTCACACACTCCCTCTTCACTCTCCTCTAGTGCAGCTTCAAGGATGGACCTGAGTACATCTGCTTCCATTTTTGCTTAACTATGTTATTCTCCCATTCTTAGACCATGGTTAGCCTTAACTACAGTTACTGAAAACAAGCCTGCTCCATGAACCATGGTTTGACATTATCTCATTTTCACTAACCATGGTTAAGATTAACCTCAATTTTTCCAGGCTTGGACAACATGGCAAGTTGAGGTTAATCAAAGATGGAAGTAGAAGCTTCAGGTCTCCTTCTCAACCGTTGAGCCAGAGGGTGAGCACCAAGCCCCACGAGACTGGGATGGGGGCTAGGTTATGGCTTCGTGTTATGTCCGTATTATAAATTCTTCCTTTGTTTCAGCAGGCAATGACCAAGCATATGAGAACGGGGAGGAGACGTTCCCATTTGAAAGACATCCGCAAGTAGGCATGAGTGGACTGTCCTTGGCCAGACTTAATGGGACATTTTTCCAAGTTTGTGGGTTGGGAGAGAGGCTTCCCAATGAGCAGAGCCAAGGAGACCAGGGAGAGAGCCGGACAGAATTTGAGGGTTTCCTTCACGCCGAAAGCTTGCGAGGATGCAGCCTTGCCGAGGGAAGTCACAAAGCAAAGAGGAAAAAGACCGGCCCCAGCTGGGGAACCGTCCTGCGTCGGAGCTTCGACTTCCCGCGGAACCAGAAGGCCCAGAAACTTTACACCTGCACCTATTGCGGGAAGGTCTCCAACAACAGTGCTCACATGATCATCCACGAGAGGACACACACGGGGGAGAAGCCGTACAAGTGCTCGGAGTGCGGCAAGTGTTTCAGCACGAACTGCAACCTGATGAAGCACATGCGCGTCCACACGGGCGAGAAGCCATACAAATGCTCCAGCTGCGGCCGGAGCTTCAGCGACAAAGCCTCACTCATCGTGCACGAGAGGACCCACACAGGGGAGAAACCCTATGAGTGCCCCATGTGTGGGAAGAGCTTCACCTCCAGCTCCAACCTCATCACCCACAAGCGGGTGCACACGGGGGAGAAGCCGTACAAGTGCTCCGAGTGCGGCCAGAGTTTTGTTCACAGGCCGCAGCTTGTCATTCACATCCGGACCCACACGGGGGAGAAGCCCTACGAGTGCCTGGAGTGCGGCAAGAGCTTCAATCAGAAAGCGGACCTCATAATACACGGGAGGACCCACACCGGGGAGAAGCCGTACGAATGCGCCGAGTGCGGGAAGAGCTTCATTTCCAGCTCCTACCTTCGCAAACATGAGAGGCTGCACACAGGGAAGAAGGCACAGCTGGGAGAAGAAACCCACAAGTGCAACTACTGCAAGAAGAGCTTCATCAGCCGGTCCAAACTTCTCATCCACGAGCGGACGCACACGGGGGAGAAGCCCTTCGAGTGCACCGAGTGCGGGAAGGGCTTCAGCACGAGCTCCAACCTGGTCAACCACAAGCGGGTGCACACGGGGGAGAAGCCGTACCAGTGCTCCGATTGCGGGCAGAAGTTCAGCACAAACTCTAACCTGGTCAATCACAAAAGGGTGCACACGGGGGAGAAGCCGTACGAATGCTCAGACTGTGGGCAGAGTTTTGGTCACAAAGCGTCCCTTCGGAGACACAAGAGAATCCACTCTAGAGATGCAACCCCTTGAGGGCTTCAGGTCTTGACAGAACGTTGTATCTTGGGAACATCCGTAGCTGCCTCACACCAGGGCAAGGCAGAGTAACGCCCTCACCAGGGAGCAGAGCCGGCGCAGAGTTTTAGGCAGAGGTCTTTCCCAGCTCTGCCTGGAGATGGCAGGGACTGAAGACGGAAGCCCTTCTGCATGCCAAGCCAGCCAGCCAAGGCCTCAAAGACCGGGCGGTAGTCCTCTCTCATAGTTGGCCCATCGCTACTGGTGTTTCGAGACATGCCGTCTCTAAGCCTGCGATCTTGCACAGCAGCGTTTCCCAACCTGGTGCCCTGTGGACGTGCAACTCTCATCATCCCTAGAAGCGATGGGAATTGCAGTCCCGTTTCTCTGGCAGGCACCTGGTTGGGGAAGGCTGCAGTACAGCATTCCTGGGGAGTAAATGGAATTGAATGCAGTGGGGCCCTGGTGGATCCTCCGGAATCTACCTACTCCGCTTTTCTGACAGCCAGCAAGATCTGCGTAAGTAGTCAGCGAGCTGCTCTCTCCTTTATGGCCTTTCTTGATACCATAAAATGGTGCCTGGAGAAGAGCAGGGTTTTCTCTCTATCCAGTTTGTTATACTAAGTACTAATTTTACATGTGTTGTGAGGATGAGGATGAAGAAGAAGAAAGCAAGAGCTGGAAGAAGAGTTTTCCCCTTTTTCCCTTCCCCTCAGCCTAGAGATAAAGTGTCACTCTCCATCTTATCAAAAACACACACAGATGGGCGAATGTTTTTTTTCCTATTGGAAAACTGAGCTTTTTCTCTGTGTCTCGGGTAGGCAAATTCAGGTATTCCGGGGCCCCTTTTCAAATCCCAAGCCACCCTTCTGCAGGCCACAATTGATCCCTCCCCCACCCCGCCCCCAAAATTGAGAAGATTTATTCCAGGAGCGAAAAAAGCAGCTTGAATCCAAATCGCCTGGCCATGATTTGATTACTCTTGTGAGTGGGGAAATACAGGCTTAGAAGAGAGCATGGCTTGCTTGTGAGACTGAGTGGAAGTGGAAACTGATCCCGGTTAAGGGAAGGAGAGAGCAGTGGATGCTTGACAGAGATGTGGACCAGGCTGAGCGAAGGTACAAGGGAAGTCGGATCTAAACACCATGTGGCTGCTTAATTTGGAAACTAAGCTGGGTTGAAGGAAGGGTTAGAGAGAGCCAGGACATAAAAAATACTTACTCTGGGAAGACTGGGGAGCATGTGTTCTGAAATCTGCTGTACATGGGATGGTATTTCTCTTCCGAGGTGTAGTTCAGGAGCAAGGAATTGGGCCTGGTTTCATGCAGACCTCTGCTGAAGTCTCCTGCCCTGCACACACCTCGCTTCTGGAATGCAGAGCCTGACCATTTATCAGCCAAGGAAATTCAGACTTCCACAAGCAAAAGGCTTCCCTCCCCAGACTAGGAAGTAGCAAAAATATGTTCCAAGTGATTTTCCTAAATCCTGGTGACTCAGATATGCTCGGAGCTTCTTCTATTTTTGTCCCAGATGGCCTTAAAATGGAAACCAGTTATGCAATGTGTCCCCTCTGCCCAAGCTTGCTCTAATGGGGACTGAGACTAGGCAGCGCCCTCTTGAGCTGTCATAAAATGAGAGTTAGAAAAATAAAATCAGAGATGGGAGAAGAACCCGATGAGGTTGACTGCAAATTCAGAGGATTGAGAACGGTTTTAAGTTGTGGAACCTTTCTTACAGTTTGTCCAAAATGCTCACATGAAGCAGTAATATTCCCCCCGCCAGCCCCCTCCTGCATTGCAACCTAGGATGAAAACCCAGGAAAGCACCCAATGGCTGGCATTTCCAAATAAAATAGTTCCTGGATTGGAGAGGTCTCCTGAGATCTTGGAGAGCAGAAGCTTGCCAGAGCAAACTCTTCTGGATTAAAGGAACGAACGCTCTACAGCACCTTCACTTGTCCATCAGAAGCCTCCACGTCTCACAATGGATGTTCCTGCAGAAACACAGAAAACTGCCTTGTCTGTTTAGTCCCCACCATGTGAAGCTGCTCGCCAGGATCTCAGGTGGAAAGGAACCTTTTGCAAGTCCAGCTGCCTGATCCTTGTTGCTGCAGATGCTCCGATTCAGGCATTTCTCCACACAAATTATGTGCTCTGTGTCCATAGTTGTGTGTGTGCTCTGCACACAGCAGTGAGCTGTGGCTCCTCACCCCACTTCCCCAGGGCTGTGTGTTCAGAAAGGCCCAGGATCAATTCCTGGAACGTCCCATCCAAAAAAATCTGGTCGCAGAGCTAGGAAAGATTTGGGAGCGCTGTAACTCCAGGCCAGCTGGGTCTAAAGTCTGACTTGGTTCCTGACAGTTGCCTTTCAAGAAGGGGAGGTGAAAATTTAGCAAACTGGGCCTGCTGGAATATCTGCATCCTGATGTTACACAGGAAGGAAGGAAGATGGAAGGTGGAGGAAGATGCTGTTCCCCCGCTTGACTGGAGAAGCCTGTGAACCGAACTGGCCCAGGATTGTGGTGTTACCACTGATTGGCCAGTGTTGGAATTCGCTTGGCTGGCATCACATGAGGAAGCTGGAAGTCTGGAGCAGATTGCATTGCCTGCTGCCCCATGAGGCATCCTTTCCTGGGTTAAGGAAACAGCTCTAGTGATTAGATGATAATTCACCAGTAGCTAGGTATGGTGATGTTCCAGAGAAGACTTGACGTAGTATTTCTAGCCAATGATTTATAATAATGTTCCTGGTTTAAAAAATAATAATTACCTGAGTTTTACCGTTCTTGTCTTGTGTTTTTCTTTCTGTCTGTTGAAATAAACTTGGTTGATTTTGTAAGATTTCTGCTGGTGTTTCCAGAAGTAATGACACACGCCAGCAACTTAGGTGGCTTGGTCCTGAAGATCCAGCCCCAGCCAGCAGGAAGTTGGGGGCAATGTAGTCAAAAAATATCTGAAAGGAGGCAGTTTTTTCCTAGATTTCATGGAGAGAGAAAGAGAGAGAGAAAATGCCCTTTATTTGTTTGATTGGTTCATCCACTGCCCTCCATATGCAGTTTGAGTGAATAAAGCTGGGCATCGAGTCAGGATCCACAGGGCTGGGTCTCTTTCTTAGGTTCCACCAACACCACCTTGATGGGTCTTTGAGTGCCTGACCAGCCACTGAGCAGATAACATCCTTGCCTAGCAGGCCCTGTCAAGCCACAGGGCTCCCTCCTGGCCTGCACAGGTCGTCTCTTCCCCTGGCTGGCATGTGAATCTGCAGCCCCTCTGACCCTTCCCTTGTGTGCTGGAATGTCATCCTATTTATTTATTTGGAATATTTTTATCCCGTCCTACACAACTGTCCCAGGATGGTTTGCAGTATAAATAAGCAATAAATACACAAGCAGTCAGAAATACAATAACAAAATGCGACTGAGAATATAATAAAACCAGATTAAAGTTATTTAAACTTTGAAAGGTTGGGCAAATTCCTATTCTGTATCACTGCCTTGGAACATGTGGGTGGACAGCCAGCCCCCCTTATATCCTGTCATCCCACTCGCGGGAGCGCCCCTGCCCAAGGCCTGGCAGAGTCGGGCACCATCTTCTCCTCCACCGCCTCACGATGTTGGTTCTGTGCAGACAAGGCCTCCGGTTGAGGCACGAGGCACACGCAGGCGGCTGGGGCAAGCAGCTGGGATGCGGAGAGAAGTCTCTCCCCCTTAGAGAAGGGCGACAGCGAACCTGCAGGGCTTTCGTTTTGCGTAGGCACCCTTCCCCATGAAGGGCTGGGGAGACCCTTCAGAGAATACACAAGATGGACGCAGGGCCTGAGGCAATCTGAGGCAACCTCTTCTGTTCCCTGTGCTATTGTCATGACTGCATTGCTCTTATAACCCGCCTTTTTTCTTTTTCTGAGGAACCCAAGGAGGCGAAGGAAGCTCCATTTTATCCTCATAACAACAGCCCTGTGAGGTGGGCTGGGCTGGGCATTTGTGACTGCCCCAGAGTGCCCCAGTTGGCTTCATGGCTGAGTGGGGACTTGAACTCAGATCTTGCAAGTCCCAGTCCTGCACTCCTGAGCACTACCCGCACTGGCTCTCAGTGTTGGCTTAGACGCTGCTTTTACTTGTGACTGCTGTGTTTTTACTTGTGGTTTTGCACGAATGTTTTGTTTTTATAAAATTGGGGGGTTTCTGCATTTATTATTGCCCAAGAGGAACCGTTGTATGTCACACCAGAACCCCTCCGCCCCCAGCTGTGCTTCAGGGCAGATCGCTGTGATTCTGTGGGTGGGAAAAATGTGGGGCTGATCTGAAGTGCCTCCCTGCCCCTCATCCCATGGCTGTTTTTTGTTAGGAAAACGGGCCACTCAATAATTTTAGGCCCTGAACTTCTTAGTCTTATGGGACCCTCCTTTGGACAGCCTTGCAGCTTCCTCAGGTTACAACACACACACATAACACTCCTGCTGCCATCCCATGCTCTAGGATGGCTTTTAACATTCTGCATATATTAGAAGCTGTATCAACTCCAGTTTGTAAAAGAAAAAACAATCTTTCTGCAAAAACAGGTCCTGCCAGACAAACCTTGTGGAATTCTACGACAAGGTTTCGAGATGGCTAGATGGAGGGGATGCAGCGGATGTGGTTTACCTGGACTTCAGCAAGGCCTTTGACAAAGTGCCCCATGATATCCTGGTGGAGAAACTGAGGAGCTTTGGGATACACCAAAGCACTGTCCGGTGGATTAGGACATGGCTGACTGACCGAAAGCAGAGGGTAACCATTAGTGGGGAATCATTGGGATGGTGGCCAGTGACAAGCGGGGTCCCCCAGGGCTCTGTCCTGGGGCCGATCCTGTTTAATCTTTTCATCAATGACATGGAAGAAGGGATGAACAGTCTGCTGATAAAATTCGCAGACGATACTAAAACTGGAGCAGTGGCCACAACTGAGGAGCAGGTACTCCAGATCCAAAAGGTTCTGGACAGACTATGGAAGTGGGCAGGAGACAACAGGATGGCGTTCAATGTGGATAAATGTAAGGTCTTGCACTTGGGGCATAGGAATGGGTGTCATAAGTACAGGTTAGGTGACAAGTGGCTGGAGAGCAGCACTTGTGAAAGGGACCTCGAAGTGCTGGTTGACTGCAGACTAAACATGAATCAGCAGTGTGACGCAGCGGTCAAGAGGGCGAACGCCACCCCTGGTTGCATAGCCAAAAGCATGGCTTCTCGATCGAGAGAGGTATCACTGTCACTCTAGATGACTCTGATGCACCCGCAACTGGAGTATTGTGCTCAGTTCTGGGCCCCTCATTACAGAAAGGATATAGCCAGGTTAGAGTCAGTGCAGCATAGGGCCACAAGGTTGGTGGCCAGTTTGCAGGGGATGGGGTATGAGGCGAGACTGGGGGAACTGGGTCTCTTCAGCCTGGAAAAGAGGAGACTCAGAGGGGATCTGTTGGCGACATACAGGTATGTGAGGGATGTCACACGGAGGTGGGTAGAGACCTGTTCCCCACTGCAGAGGAAGGCAGGACACGCTCCAACAGAGCAAAGCTCGGGGAACCCAGGTTCTATTCGGGTGCCAGGAAGGCTTTTCTGACAGTCAGGACCTCGAGGGTGAGGAATGGGCTTTCATGAGAGGTCGTTGAGGCCCCATCGGTGCAGGTGTTCAAAAATAGGCTGGACATGCACATGGTGGGCATGTCGTGTACGGGCTTCCAGTACGACAGTGGAACCAGCTGCCCAGAGAGGCGGTGGGCTCTCCCACACTAGAGAAAGTCAAGGGAAATCTGGACAGCCATCCGAGTGGGATGGTGTAAACTGGTGTCCTGCAACACCAGGGTGGTGGACCTGATGGCCTTCATGGCCCCTTCCAGCTCTACTATTCTATGATTCAATGATACGCAGGAGGGTTTGCAGATAATTCAACTGTGCTCTGCAACGCAATGGTTTTCAGGTCTCCATGCCCCTGAGACCACTGGAAGCAAACATCTGTTGACTCTCCACTTTTGAAGATATAAAATCTAGTTGTTAAATAAAAACTCTCCCCATTCCAGATGAATCAGACAGGCTCCCTGGTTGGCAGAAAACTGAACCAAGTCCATGGTTACCTGCGATTTTTGCCCACAATGAATTTGTTAGAGCCATCCTGTGGTCCATGGGAATGGAAACTGAGCAGTATACGGTTGCCCGAAAAAACCTTTCTGAGGTCAGAGACATGCTTTGACATTATGAGGATGAGATGGAGATCCAGCCCCACCTTCTCTGCACGGGCGGCCTCCAAGGTTGGAAAAACCACCTGAGGAGGAAGGAAGGGGTCACTCCATTGGGTGGCAAGGGGAGGAGACCAGAGAGGCAGACTTTTCCAGCCTTCTTCTCTCACCCTCCAAAGTATCCTTGGCCCACCCAGTGAGAATGGCCAAGACAGAAGATGGGGATGTGACAGACAGTCCTGCCTCTCCTGCCCCACCAGCTTCGGTCCCACAAGGCACAGAAATCTCGGGGGCCTCCAACTTTAGCCAATAGTTTGTAAGACAAAGAAGGTGGGCCCCCTCCCCACAGAGCCACAATTTCCGTGGGGGTAATAGGTTGGTGGAGTGGTGAAAGGAGGAGATGCAGAAGTGGGCAGAACCAGCTGTTCCCTCTTCTTCGGAGGCCAGCTGGCTGCCGAGGGAAGGAAGGAATCTTCCCAGTGGTAGGCATGGATTCCTTGCAGAGGGTTTCTGAAATCAAGTCCAGAAGTGGCTGCAGGACCACCAGTTGCTCGGCCATGATTTAAGGTGACACTGGTGATTATTTTTGGTGAAAAAGGCAAATTCTTCTGGAATGCGTACACATGGAACAGGCTGCATGGCCATCTATAACCGAACAAGGAAAGGGATAACTTTTCATACAGATTCCACAAGCTGTGGCATGCTCCTCAACCAGTTTAGCATCTTGCTTCATTTAAATCGTGCATGGAGTCACACATAAATCCACACCTAAATTTTCTTCAGCCCACCCTACCAACTCCAGGCAGTGGCTAACAACGGTTGCAAAGAAATAGGTATGAAACAAGATAATTCAAAGCAGTTTAAATTTTAAAATCATCTCAAGGCAATCCAATCACTTTAGTAATGCATATTTTAATAAGATAGGGAAAATTCATTTTTTTTTTTTTGCAGTGACTTCCCACTTTTTAATTTATAAGGAACTAACATCACATTTGAGGATTCTCGGACCAAGGGGTCCTTGGATTTTCTGGCATTAAAGGCTTGGAGGTGAGCAACCCACTTTCCAGCAACCCTGTCAGGGTTATCATTCATCTGCTGGAGCCAGAAAGGCTTTGTCTGCTCCAACAGCAATTCCAAGGATCTACACACACTTTCCAACTGTAATTGCAGGCATCAACCCTGATATTTTGCCCAGAAAAAAAGATTTATAAAGTTTCATTCCCATGTTTTATATAAACAGATTCAGTACCAGATGAGGTTCAAGCGTATCTATTGGTTGTGTCTAAACTTTTAGAAGACTTTCACTCCAAACTCTTACTTCACATGATCATCTTTAAGCTTGCGTTCACATGTCACTTTGCTCTTTATGAGAACAGAGGGATTAGAGGACATTTCCTCCCACGTTTATATGGTTTCTCTCGTGCATGAACCCTTTCATGTTTTCTACAGTCAGAGCTGGAAATGAAGCCTTTCCCACACTCACAGCACTCATAAGGCTTTTCCCCTGTATGGGTTCTCATGTGCTTGGTAAGAGAGGATCTGTGACTCAAGCTTTTTCCACACTGAGGGCATGAATATGGCTTCTCCCCAGTATGGGTTCTCTGGTGTGTAATAAGGTTTGATTTCAAATTGAAGCTTTGTCCACAGTCTGAGCATTTGTATGGTTTCTCCCCTGTGTGTGTTCGCAGGTGCTTGGTAAGAGAAGATTTATCGCTAAAACTTTTTCTGCAGCTGGGACATTCATAAGGTTTCTCACCAGTATGTATTCTCTGGTGTGTAATAAGGTTTGACTTCCAATTGAAGCTTTGCCCACAGTCTGAGCAGGTATAAGGTTTCTCCCCTGTGTGTAACCTTTTATGATTTATGAATTGATAGCTAGTGCTAAAACTTTTCCCACATTCAGAGCATTCATAGGGTTTTTGTCCAGTATGCTTTCTCCTGTGTATAACAAGGTCTCCTTTCTGGTTAAAGCTTTTTTCACAGTCTGAGCATTTATGAGGTCTTTCTCCTGTGTGGGTCCTCCTGTGTGTGAGAAGATGTGATGTTTGACTAAAGCGTTGTCCACATTCTAAACACTTATATGGTTTCTCTCCCGTGTGGATCCTCTGGTGTTTCTCAAGGATTTTCCTTTGGCTAAAGCATTGTCCACATTCCACACACTGATAAGGTTTTTCCCCTGTGTGGATTCTCACATGTGAAACAAGGTTCCCTTTCTGGCAGAAGCTTTGTCCACATTCCAAACACTTATATGGTTTCTCTCCTGTGTGTATTCTTTTGTGTTTTGTAAGGTAAGAGGTGGTGTTGAAGCTTTTCCCACACTCAGAGCACTCATACGGTTTCTCTCCAGTATGGGTTCTCTCATGTACAATAAGGTCCGCTCTCCTATTAGCAATTTTCCCACAGTATGTGCATGCATGAAGCTTTTCCCCCTTTTGCATTTTCTGATTCTTGGGATGGCCAAAGCTCTGACAGAAGTGTTTTCCACACCCTGAGTCCACCTTTATCACCTCATGCCTGTCTTGGAAGGTTCCTTTACATGAATCATTCTTGCTTTCCCCAAGAAGAATGGCATGTTCTGTGCTCATCCACTGATAGTTCTCCTGCTGAGTTTCTAGTCCTTCTGGACTTCTATAAATCTCTTCTACCTCAGAACTCCAGAAACACATCCCCTTGGCTCTTTCCAAGGATATTTCCTGGATGTCTATTTGGTCATGTCTTCCCAGTTGGTAAGCCTCCTTTGCCCTTGCCCATGTTTGGTCACAGCCTAGTGGAACAAACAGAATAATTACATAAATTAAACCTGCTAACAAATCCTGATTAAACTTTAAAAAGCAGAATATGACAGAAGCATTACAGAGGTCTGCTAGGATAACAACCAGTTCATTATCCTACTAACCTTCCACCAATGCTATTTCTTTCTCCTTTTATATTCCCACCTTCCAGTGACAAAAATCCAGCTCAGGGCAGCTAACAGTTAAAGCAAATCCTAACGATAAAACACAAATCAAGGAAAGAGCAGCCAATTAGCATGCTAAGAACTATATTAAGAGCAGGGCGATCATGACAAGCAGTGGAATAGACTGAACAAAAATCAGCCACCAAGACCTATAGAAACAGAGACAGGGAAAAGTTTTATCCTGACGCCTGAAGAATGAGCCAGGTGAATCTGGGAGGAAGACAGCATTCTGCAGATGGTATTCCACAGCAAAAAAGGACACCTCCTCACTGTTTCTGTGTTGGCTCATGGAAATCTTTAAAGTTAGTAAGCAGATGTGGTTTGGTCGTGACAGCTAGAGTCAGTGATACAACTTTGGTGCTATATTTTGCTGCTTGTTTCCATGTTGTCTTGAAACATGAAACTTGAATCTTACCATGGTTCCCATTCAAGAAGGACAGGTAGGATATACCGCAGATTAAGCCCTCTCCAAACTGATGCTTTCAAAAAAGCAGGTGGGAGATACACTGTAACCATCCAGACATTTCCTTAGCATGTTGCATTCAGATCCTTACCCAGCAAGTTGGCCTCCTCGTGACCCTCTTCCTTGACCTCCAGTGAAAGATGGTCCTTTGCAGCAACTGAATTCTGCCTTGACCTGGGGTAATCGCCGGCCACATTTGTGAGAGTCCCTGGTAGCTGAAATAGAAAACAATGCAGAAGTGGATGGGGAGGGTTTAAGGCAGGGGCCCTCAAACTTTTTCAACAGGGGACCAGTTGAAAGGCGGTATCTGTGGGTGTGGGCCGGTGAGGCAGCGGCGGGTGTGGTGGCGGTGGGCACAGGGGCGGTGGCGGTCGCCCCTGGACTCACATAATTAAATATAGATTTAAAAAGTTATCATTTTTGTTGTCTTTAATCCTTTCTTCGTCTCTCTTTCTCTTCTGCCCGCCTCTCTTCTGTTTCCCACTCCATATTCCCGCTCTGTACATGCATGCAATGGGGCGGGAGGGAGAGCTGGCACACACACAGTTGAGCTGTTGCAATTTGGGCACGTGCCAGCTCTCTCCCTGCTCAGTTTTAAAGAATGCCAGCACCGGCTCAGAGCTTTTGGACTCACTTGGAGATCGTTTTCTCCATGCCCAATTTCTGTAAAGTGATGGCTAGAAGGCACAGCATAGAAGAAACCTTTTCTCTGCCAATTTTCCTTGAGGCCTCGAGTCAGAATGCAGTGTTGATTTTACTGCTGGCTTCTTGATGTTTTAAAATATTTTAAATTGTTTGTAATGTGCTAACCTGTGTTATTTTGATATTTTAACTGTTGCATTTCAACAACAATTGGGTTATTTTGTAGTTGTTGATGTCTGGTTTTAGGGTTGTCTGGTTTTATGACTATACACTACCCTTGTGTAAATCTCTCTCTCTCTCTCTCTCTCTCTCTCTCTCACACACACACACACACACACACACTCACTCCTTGGGTACAGGGAAGGTCCTGTCACTTAAGAAAAGAATTTTTTTAAAACAACCCGGCACACAGCAGGCAAAGTGCTGTTGGAAGGATTTAAATTATTATTACATTTACATTTTTATAATCAGTTTTCATTTGAGTTTTCTTATTGAGAACCCTAGATCATATCAATGTAACGGAAACATATAAAGCCAAGGTATTACAACAGTGGACAAATGACTCATAAATCATGACTCATGACGCATTTCTATGCCACCCGTAGTTGAAGCTCTCTGGGCAGTTCGCAACGATTGAGTCACCCATCCAGATTCCAACCAGGCCTGACTCTGCTTAGCTTCCAAGATTAGGCACTTCAGGCAATATGGAAGCTATTCAGAAGCTAAAATGACTAATGCTCTAGAATTAATAAATGTAGCCTAAAGATAATCATTTCCAATGTTTATAAAAGTGTTTGCCAACTAGACAAAAGCTAAAATGCCAATTAAAAAGGAACACTCAAATGTCTTCATATTCTAGCACAGACCTCAGCTAATGGAATTGGGAAAGGAGCAACGTTTCACAAAATCTTTAATTTCCTGTTGAAAAACATGAAGTCCCTTGTCAGACCAATGGACCAGTTTGCCCCACGTTTAGCAACACAACAAGATTATCTTGTGTCAAAGAACGGTTGAACAGTCGAACAAATAACGAGGAAGGTCCTCCGTGTCATCTGGTCCACCACGACGAAAGTCTAAAGGATAAAGTATCTTACGTGCCACAAAGGACCTTTTGCACATTCTGTAAGCCACCCTGAGTAACTACTTTTTTCAGCAGAGAAAAGCAGTGTAAAAATTCCTTAAACTAATCATTCAAGCAATCACCTCTTGGGCTTCCTCCGCCTCTTGGCCACAGGAGTCCCTGAAGGGTGGGTGCTGGATTTCCAAGCTGGCTGCTGCCGCCTCCGCCTCCTCCTCCTCCACTATCTCTTCCTTCACTCCTCCGGAGGAATCCAGGGGGCTACAGGCCTCACAGAGGGGCCCGCTCCCTCTTCCAAGCTCTTGGCCGGCATCAGCTTCTCCCTTGACAGAAGCCTGGAATTCCTTTGTGTCCTCTCCCAGAAGACCAGGCCCTTGCGGGGCTCTCCTCTCTGCTTGCGAGGCCTGCACTGTCTCCAGGATCCCCTGCCTCCGAGCATCCCAGCCCCGCTCCAGCCGCCCTTCATTGGCTTCTTGCTTCATGTGTTGCGGAACTGCTTTGGTCCAAAGCTTCCCCGGGGCACCAATTTGGACCGCGTGGGGTTCTCCTCCTCCTCCTCCATCTGCCTCCTCCTCCATCTGCCTCTGCCCTGGCCCAGGCCCGGTTGGCTCCTCGTCTTCCATTTTGTACTTCTGAGTGCCGTTCTTGGGTTGGAAAAGATAAAATACATTAAAAGTGATACAGTCGCGAGCTGGTCCCTTCCTTCATTTCCTTCTGTTTATCAAGAGGGACCCTTTGAAAAGCAATTCTTCACTGAAATTTAGCAGATTACAGAACAGTGTGAACTCCAAATAGGCTTCTACTAAAATTGAAGGAGAAGCATCTGCTCACGTAGAGTCAAACCCAACCTGAAAACTTCTCCTCTGTCCCTCTCTTTCAGGAAAGCATCTGACTCCACCCTCAAGGTGGCTTTGCTGCTTGAGGGAAAGATGGTGGGAACAGCAGAGACCCTCTTACGGGGCAGCACGGCTCCTGCTGCCTCCCGACCAGGTCAAGGACTGGGCCTTGCATCTGCTCCCCCTCCCACTGTGGAAACCCTTCCAAAGCACGTGGGTTCCCACACTCTGCCAGAGAAACTTCACTGGGCAACTTTGGTTTACTGAATTCCTGCTCCGCCTCCTCCTTGGGATCAGCCAGATCCATCTGAGCAAGAAACAAGCCCACTCTCTACACAGATTTGGACAAAAATCTCTCCCCCCACAACCCCCTCACTTCCCTGCAAATGTCACGGGATACTTTATGACAACTCCATTAAGGGATGGTTTAACTGGGAGCCCTGCACTGAGCAGGGGGGTGGCCCCTCTGGCCCCTTCCAGCTCTACTATTCTAGGATTTTAAGACAGCCCCCTCAGGATTTGTTACCACAGTTATTAAATTCCTAGAGATCAGAGCAAGAGCACAAATCTGGCCAAACTGCACCTGCTCAGCATTCCAACCAAGTCCTAGATGCTTTTCTAGACAGCCGTAGTATCGTCTGCAGCTGCTCAACTGTTTGGTGGTGTTGGGGCTTAAACAGTTTTCTTCCCCACCCTAAAAAGCTGAAAAGCTCTCCCAACTTGTCGTAAAAGCTTTAAACTAAAATATGGTGACATTGTTGATACCTTCCCCTTTTGTCTTCAGCTCACTCATTACTGGAATTGCCCTTTGCCCTGTTTTCCCTGAGTTCCTCCAAAATGGCATTTGGTCCTCCAGTGCAAACGTGGTTTGTCACCTCTGATTAGAGCAACAAAAATGTGTCTGTCTGAAACCCCTAGTAAGAGAGAGGCATTCTGGGGAGAGACTCAGCTGCCTCAGTGGCCCCTCAGTCATCCTCAGAAGGGGGCGGGGCCAAGGATAAAAGAGGTGGGGCCAGTATGTTTTAGCCTGGAGCACTTGCTGCCAGTAACTAAAACCCAGGAGAGGGACCTCTACCATTGGAATGGCGGGAGAGACTGCACAAATGCTGGGAAACCAGGAAAGGATTAGTGGTAGGGACAAGGAGGGCATTTCTGTGGGGGGACCCCTTGGGGACATCAGGGGTAGACTGGGACCCCAACAGGGCCAGATTTCACTCCTGAGCTTTTATGCCCTTGTAATACACATTACCAGGTAAGGAACACTCCCACCATCTGCCCCAAAATATATTTTAGACCAGACCTGAGCAACTAGTTATTGCTTCCCTTCGGATATGGAAATGCACTTTTCTGGAAGAAAGAGGATGAAACAAAAGTCCTTTGACACGAGATTTAGTAAAGCAGGAACAGAGTAAACTGCATTTCCCAAGAGCCTGATGCATTCCCATGCTGGTTGTCTAGGAAAAGACTCTCTTTCCTGTGCACACCAAGCGGGCTGATAGAATCCACCACTTCTGCCAGCTGACTTACTCGCCTCTTCTGAATCCCTGGTCACCCGTGGCGACTAGGCGACGATAGTATCACACAAGGCAGCATGAAACATTTTCTTTCCCACCGATTTGCCTAACGCAGACTTCTCCAACCCAGCACCCTCCAGATGTGTTGGGCTAACACTCCCACGCCCCCCAACCAGCTGGCCAGAGGCCATCAGGGTTGCAGCACAGCACATCTGGAGGGCGCCCGCTTGGGGGAGAGCAATCTAGCGGATGCTGCTCCGAAGCGCACGGCAAGCGAGCCACTTGCTCCGTCTGGCCCTTTGCTTTTCTCGCCTTCCCAGCGCAGCCCGGGCGCTCTCTCTCTCTCCCCGGGCTCCTTCGCCAGGCAAAGCGTGAGCTGCCCGGATGGGGCATTTTCTTCGGGATGAAATGAGCCGCTCAGACCTGGGAGCAACGTGCAAGCCCACTGCACAAAAACGACCGATTATCGGCTTATAATTAACCTTCATCTGGAAAGCCACCAAGGCAGCGCAGAGCGGACCCAAAGAATCACGGAAGAGGAGCCGGAGGGGCCAAGGAGGCCACCGGGCGCAACCCCTTTAAAGCAAAACCCCAGCCAGGGATCTTAGCCATGCAACGCAGCTTCGGCCGCGCTGTGGCTGCCCGCTTTGCTTTCCCGCTCGCAAGTTACCTCTCCCGGCATTTGCTGCCTCTGAAAATCAGGAGCCAGAGCCTTTCCCGGCCATTTCCCCGGCCCACCGCACCCCCTTATCCTTCGCACGAGAAGGGGGAGCAGGGCAGGAAAAGGAAGTCGCCGACCCGGCTGCAAGAACCAGCTCTGCTCGCCTATCTAGGCACGCAACTTTCTCAGTTTAACCCTTCCCTTAAAAAAAGTCAGTCTCCTAAAAGCAGATGGCTTTACACTACTGCCGGTATCAGAGGCAGGATGGCTATCGACACCTGTTGCTGGGGAACATGGGTGAGCGGGTGCTGTTGTGGTCATGTGGCCACTGGCAACTGGAGGACAGGACGAGATGGAGATTGGTCCGATCCAACATGGCTGCAAGTCCAAAGCTACTAGTCCTCGTGTTACCTCCATTGCCAGAGGCAGTACACCAGTTGCTGTGGAATGTGGGTAGGAGGGTGCTATTGCATGCTTGTGCTTGATTGGCCACTGTGTGAACAGTATGTTCCACAAGATGGATTTTGGCCTGATGGATCTATAATCATTGCAATTGGCGGGAAGCAAAAGAACTTCTGAGGCCCTTGGGATGAAATTGGATGTATCTTTCACTTTCTACCTTTTACTGCAATGCTTTCACTATCTTGAACACTTGCATCTTTGGGGTACAATCCTGACGCTAAATTTGCCATCATAGACTTGCTTGCTTGGGAGGCGGTTCTGTTGAACGTGATGGGACTTACTTCTGAGTAAGGATACCGAAGCTGAGCTCCTGGATTTGCATTTGCACTGTGTGGTTGGAAGGACAGGAAAGAAATTGACCCACATGCAGTGTACTTAAATTTGTTATTGTCCATTGCTACTTTAATTAAAATGAAAGAAAGAATGAACAAACGAATGATCAGAAGGAAGTTCAGGGTCCTAGAAGTTGCCCAGTGCAGGGGGGAGAGGTCATAACTGCAGCCAACTTAGTGATGTAAGCCGCCCCGAGGCTTCGGCGAATGGGGCGGCATAAAAATGTTTTAATAAATAAATTAATAAATAAATGACAGGAGCCAAAGCATCAGAAATAGCCCTTATTTTATAGTTCGCAGAAAGATACACAGTTGTGTGAAAATAGCCTACATTATTTTCATCAGACGCACTGGGGAGCCCTTTGATGTGACATGACAAGGGCTGCTAGAAGAGGGCTGGTGCAATTGCCCCAGATCAAGCTTGGAGCCAAAAGTAAACACATTCAAGAAAGGAATTCATTCAATTCAGGAACATTTGCTGTCGCCTTCCTTCCTCCAGCAACCCCCACCCCCCCACAAAGTTCAGCAGGAACCCCTGGGAGTCACGAGTGGCTGCAGCAGAGAGGTGGGGACAAGACGCTTTCCAACTATGAAACCCAACTCCTGCCTTCATCTCAGGACCTGGGGCCGCCATCCTGTCCATTGGCCCTCTGGCCTCGGGGCACAAGCACCTGCTGCTGAAGCCTCCCCACCTGCTCATCTGCCCCCTGCCCACCTGACCCCCAGTTCCCAAAAGGCTGCCACCCACCTGCCCCCCGGAAGCCACTGATTCTCCCGGCTGCCAAGTCCCTGCTCTGCCCACTGGGCTTGGTCTCATTACCTTTCCTGGCAGAAACAGTGGTGAGCGAAAAACAAAAGGGTTGACTCTTCCATTCCTTGCTTAGACCCTACGAACCCCTGATATGGGACCCCCCCCCAACAGCAGCAACAGAAAGGTTGCCACCTCTGCCGTGGGGGCAGTGGGGAGAGCCCCACTGAACTCTCTCTCTGGGCTACTGACACGTGTGCGTTTACAAGGCAGAGTCGAGCAAGAGGATCACCTGCTCGTTCTCACATGCACGAACCCGTGGAGGTCATGCACGGAGTTCTCTCACTTGGTGCCCCCCAGGAGAGATCGGTCACATCTGGAGAACGGGCCTCCTCCACTGCAGGTCTCATCCCCTCGTGCATCTCTTTGCATTGCTCTCCAACATCTGTTTGCAGGGATGTGATGGCAAAGCGGAACAGAAGAATACAAATGAGCCGTTCGCCTCTGACTGCAGCCTTCTTTGCACTGGTATCCTCCAGACATTTTGGACTACAACTCCTAGCATTCCCCACCACTGACCATATGGTGACGGGAGTGGTTGAGCAGAGCCGGCAGGCAGGGTCCCCGTGAAAGCAGGCAGGTGGAGTGGCCAGATGGAGATGCTGCTCCCCATCTTTGGAACTCCTAGGGAAATTCGCCTGGCGCCATCTCTATTTTCCCTTCAGTACCAGGCAAAGATATATCTTTTTAGGACTTTTTAAAAATATTTAGCTTGCATGCTCTGGCCCTTTTTAGTTGCTTTTATAGATATTTAATTCATTATATTTTAATTGGTTTTAATCTGTTTTACTCTGTTAATATGTTTTATGCATTGTAAGCTGCCTAGGAAGGCCTTGGCAATTATAGATGGCCTATAAATACATGTAAATAACTAACTAACTAAATAAAATGGTCTGGGGTTAATGGGAACTGAAGCCCACCATACCTGGAGGACACCAACTTGGAGAGAGATGTTCTTCATACAAAGGATCTGTTTCTTCTCTCCACCCTGCCCTTTTCCTGACTTTCATTCAAGAGGTTCTACACACAGTTTCATTTTATCCTCACAACAACCCTGTGAGGTAGGGCAGGCCCTGTAAACTTTGTCTAACACAACTTTCCCTAGCTAGGTGCCCTCCAGATGTGAAGAACGCTCTAATTATGCTGCCTCCCTTTTCTAAAATTAAACTACCACTTTTGTTTCTGCATCTGCCCTCTTGCCCTAGTTGAGTTCTGATCAGAGGCAAAGCCAGACTTTAAACCTTGCAACAAGAGAGCATCTGTTTTGCATCTAGTGTAGTTTAATCTAAATAAACCGCATAGCACCTCTATTCCAATGCAGAAATGTTTCTTACACCTCACTAATGCCTAGAAACATCTTTATTTTTCATTCTCACCTTTCAGCCCCACATGGATGGGGCAGTAGCTTGGTGGCAGAACATGTTTTGGATGTAAAAGCCTCTAGATTCAGTCCCTGGCATCCCCAAATAGACCTCAGAAGGACCTCTGCGCTGAAACCCTGCTGAGCTGCCGCATAAGACTCCCAGCTTGAGTTGTTTAAGCATTGAAGTGTAACCAAAGCTTAATTCTAATCAGCAGTGCCCTAGAATGTCTGGCTTAAAGATTTTCCACCAATCCTTCTGTACCTGGCATTTATCAATGCCCACCCGCTGCTTTTTATTTCCTTCAGTAATGGATAGCACAGCAATATATGCCTTAAAATATCGGTTCATTCTGAGGCACAGATTTGGAAAAGGTGAACCTGGGTGTGAAAAAGGATCTCTCTCTCTCCCCGTCGGGGAATCGAACCCCGGTCTCCCGCGTGACAGGCGGGGATACTCACCACTATACTAACGAGGAGAAACTTGGATGGAGGGGCATCCAAAAAGGCCCAGATGGCTGAAACGCGCAGCTCCCCCTGCACGCTATTTAACAACAACAACAACACCTTCCCGGGGAGAAAAGCAGATCGCGGGGAACGAGAGAAGCTGCAGCGATGGATATTCCTGCCTTAGTCATCTCCATCCTGCAAGATCGCTGAATGTTGCCTAAAGCAGGATCCTGTGCATGTTCGGAGAAACAAGAGAGAGAAACAATAAAACCCTTCAACTTAAAGGGTGCAATCCAATGCATATTCGAGAGAAACGAGCCAGACAACTCCCCGCGTGACTGGCTGGGACAGGCAGGAGTTGTTGGACTGGTTTCTCTCTCAGTATGTATTGGATTGCACTCCTGAAGTTTGAGGATTTAAAGGCATGCTTTCTACCTCTTCCGACCCCCGTGCTTCCTAGTAATAAACTCGACAGCAATGGCCCATTCAGTTTGACAACTAAATTCTTCACAGCTATATAAGGGGGAATGAAACCCGCACATGAATGCATTTCTGACATGTTTATGCTTACCTTCTGAAAACTGTTGCGGCCACCAAGCTTAGAGGAGGAGTAGGCGCATATTGCTATATTTTCAAATCCAGGCATGAGAAGCCCAAAACATCTGGAGATCTCCCATCTGCCCGCCCCTGATTTACAGCTTCCAAGATCCCTTTCCCAGTTCTGTCGCAGCTCCCTACCTTTCGCAAACCATGCTATCGTGGGGGGGAAATGTTCTTTTTAGAAAGTAAGGCGGAAAGAAACTGGGTGAGACTGATGGTGTGTCTTAATACATTAAAAATTAAAATTAAATTGATTAAATAAAAAGTAGAGCACTCTTGCGTTGGCCGGGAATCGAACCCGGGTCAACTGCTTGGAAGGCAGCTATGCTAACCACTATACCACCAACGCTCACGCACAGAGTCTCTGGAGAGCATCTTTACATGCAGCCAGATTTACTCCCCACTGCGAGGACCACTGAGATGCTACTCGCGTTCTAGGTGGCGCTATTTATTTTCCTTTTTATCGTGGATTTCACAAATCGCAATGAACCATACGCAAAAATAAAAAACAGGAATAAAATAAGGTATCTTGGGAGTTACATGAAACTGGAGTGAATCTGTTTCAAGGAATATATGTACAATGCGTACCAAATATACTACTTTTCTTCGGGATCGTCATACGTGGAAGGCGGTCGAGATAGCCATGAATTTACCCGTTCAGAAATTATGCCGAAAGGACCACCTATTCAAAAGCTGAAAGCTTCATCGCGTCCTCCACCTAATTATTGGAGGAGGCCATCCATCTTCCAATGCTAAAGGGCAGCCAATTCTGGACTTTCCCCTATTCTGGGTGCATTGAGGTCTCCCTCCTTAATCTTTCCATAAGAAGTTACAGTTTAATTTGCCTCATATAAAATGATCATCTAATTACTGAGTCCACACCCTGAACTAAGACGATTGGTGTGCAGGAGCCAATTTCAGTGGACAACCCGCTTGCTAAACTTGATATTCTTGAGTGCCAGGTATGCACCAATTATAGGAATGCACAAAATATCTGTGAATAATAATAACAACACATTTAAAAATATAGAGAGCTTAGATAGGAGGAGT